TGAAGAGCTTGTGGATTTGTTACCTGGATTCAGGTTTCATCCAACAGATGAAGAGATCATAACATTCTACCTCAAAGAGAAGGTTTTAGACAGCCGATTCACGGCTGTGGCCATGGGAGAAGCCGATCTCAACAAGTGCGAGCCTTGGGATTTGCCAAGTAAGTAATAGTTCAACAAAATTTTCAATAACCAAACACAAATTTCAAATTCTTCTTTGACCATTAATTTCAAGAGTGTTCACACACAGAGGCTAGTTTCTTGATTAAGATTACCAATTCTTGAATCATGATTTGACACGAAGCTAGCTTGTTTTTTTTTTCTTTCCAAATTTCAAACTTGAAAGCTAAACAGATTTCAATCTTCTTTGACCCTTCTCAAACACAAATGAAAGGCTTCCTGATCAAGATTCTGATCCTAGTTTCTTGTTTTTTTTTTCATTTGGTGGGTATAGAGAGGGCAAAGATGGGGGAGAAGGAGTTCTACTTCTTCTGTCAAAGGGACAGGAAGTATCCGACCGGGATGAGGACGAACCGTGCGACCGAGTCCGGGTATTGGAAAGCGACCGGGAAGGATAAGGAGATCTTCAAAGGCAAAGGTTGTCTCGTTGGGATGAAGAAAACACTTGTGTTTTATAGAGGAAGAGCTCCACGAGGTGAAAAGACTAATTGGGTCATGCATGAATATCGTCTTGAAGGCAAATATTCTTATCACAATCTCCCCAAATCCGCAAGGGTAAGTTCATATAAAACCAATCCATATATCTCTTCTCAAATGTTTTTGAAACCGATTCCAAAGATCTAATTATATAGTATTAATTATTAGTTTTCTTAAATCAAAAGTGTGTTACATTTGGTGAAATTTTTGTCCCTTTCAATAAGTTTCATTAAACCTCATATATCCAATTCAAATTAATTTGAGTCCCAAGCGTTATCAAAAATAAGATTGAATCCTACACTCAACATCAATTCTAATATTTTTTTTTTTTTTTTGTGATCTTTGATTACAGGACGAGTGGGTCGTGTGTAGGGTTTTTCACAAGAACAATCCTTCCACTACAACCCAACAAATGACGAGAATACCCATTGAAGATCTCACAAGAATGGATTCGCTAGAGAACATTGATCATCTCCTAGACTTCTCATCTCTTCCTCCTCTCATAGATCCGAGTTTCACGGGTCAACACGAACAGCTCAACTTCAAACCCACCAACCCTCCAACCTACAACATCTCATCACCAATCCAGTCCCATCACTTCAATTCTAATTACCAATCAATCTTTAACCACCAGGGTTTTGGTTCTGCTTCTGGTTCCGGTTCTACATACAACAACAATAACAACGAGATGATCAAGATGGAGCAATCACTTGTTAGTGTATCTCAAGAAACCTGCCTGAGCTCAGATGTGAACGTGGCCACGACCACGGAAGTATCTTCGGGTCCAGCAATGAAGCAAGAGATGAGGATGATGGGAATGGTGAATGGCAGCAAGTCGTACGACGATCTATGTGACTTTGGGGGGATCATATGGGACTACTGATTAATTTTAGTTTGGGAGAATTATGGTTATTTGATTATTTAATTGTTATGAAAGAGTATATTTGTTGGGGGTTTTAAATCGTGTAGTTAATACATATACATATAGGATTTACTAGGGGATTAATCCTTGTTATTTTCGCTACATTGATCTTATTTACTTGATTGTTTAGTTAGTTTATAGTGTGGGTGAAAAAAGGGATAAAAGGGATTGCGATCATTTGGATTTTTTAGTGCATAGGTATATATATCTCAATGTACACTGTATAATACATATAAGTAATCTTCATTTATATATATAGTTTCTTGTAGAGTTCCAGTTATTGAGATTTACGATATCCTATCGTCGTAGTTCAATTTATATTCATACAAGTTCAAACTCAAGTATAAAAGTTTCAAATAAAATTATATAAAATAATAATAATAATAATAATAATAATAATAATAATAATAACTATGTGAATAAATGTTAAGTTTTTTTTGTTTACAGCTTTATCAAATGGCTTACGGTTTACTATATGCATAATTGATAATCACTCAACAATCAACATAATGCTCCTTTTGAAAAGGGAAAAAACTATACTAGGTTACTTTCTTGTATTTGTCTGAGAAAACAATGAAATGGAAAATGCAAATTGGTGGAATCTGAATAAAAACTTAGAGAGAAGAAGAAAAAAAACACAGCTCATGAAGCATGTGAATGTTCCCCGAATCTGGGCAGCATATTAGCCTTTACATATGCCCAATACTTTAAATTATTAGTATGACACTATTTATTAATATATCATTTACTTATTATACTAGTATAAAAAAACATTTTAACTAAAAACAGTGATTAATGATGATGTGTTTCTTGTAAAATTACAATTCCAGATCCCTAAGTCTTATGTCTTAAGGAACTTGGTTATTACATCAATCACATTACGTTTTCCCACTTAATTCTTTAATAATTGAAATTTTTTGTACGTTTCATATTATCATTTATTAATTTTCCAGTATTTGTTTATTTTGTTAGTACCGTATAATGTTTTTCTCAATATATATTAGTATCTTAAGGAATTTTTTAGCACAAAGCTTGTCTTTACATAGAATAAGATATGGCTGCAGATCTGTGTTTAAGATTTGGCAGCAGATCTGTTTTGTGGTTGAATGCACTATAATATTCTTAGAATTGAATTCTTGATATTTATATATCTGAAAACGACAAATACATAGATTTAAAAGAAAATGCACCAACTTGAAAAGCACCAACGAAACAACATATGGGTAGATGTCCAAACAAAAACAACATATATTGGTAGGTTTTATTATTAGTAAAAAGCATGAACATGTTACATGTAGGCACTATATAAACGTAATGCTAATGCATATAGTTTTCAAATTTGCTTGAATATGGATTTTTCTTATTTTAAATAATTTTATATGCCCTTATTACCGCAAAGCTCTAAAAAAATTTCCACCGTTCATGTGTAGATAATTATCTAACCCATTTAAGAAAATAAACACTCGATTAACCGTACATAAATAAATGATGTCTCTGGTTCAATGTACTATATGATTGTTTGGAAACAAGCGTGTGAGTCTCTTCCACCTTAAATTCAGGACTTAAATTCATTAATTTTATGTTGAATTTGAGGCGTGAATTTAATCATAAAGTTTTTGGTTTACAACTGGACTATTTACTACAGATACTTCCGCCACAACAGAGAATAGTATTCATTTTTTTTTTTGTTTATAAATTATTCATTTTTTTCTACTACATTAAATAAGGTTTCTTCCTTTATTTTTTTAAAAGACATACCGTTAAGTACGGTGGCTATCTTTCGGTATAAGTATTGGTGGATTATTGGTTCATGATTTTACCATATGAAGAATCGAATTATTACTGAATAAATAAATAGTTTGGAACAAAAATGCATATATATTTGAGTATTTTTTTAATACGCATAATAACGGGACTTTCCATTTAAAGCGAAGCTTTAAGACCGATACTTGCAGCAAAGCTAACCGTTCTCTTTCCCTTTTTGAGTTTCTAGATGATGGTTTCTTTCTATCGCCTCTTTTCTACTGTCTCTTTCTTTCATTTCTTTATAAATATAATCATTTTTTTTTTCGTTCGGAAGATATATACATTGAATGAGAGACTTTTTGGTCATGATGAAAATTGAATCTGATAGTAATCTATTTTGTATTAGTTCTATATTCTGCCATCAACTATATTCCAGACTATTAAAATAAAAACATGTGTTAATTTCTACCTAAACTAAATAATTACATTTATGTATATGCAAAGCTAAGCAATGGTGAATAAAGTATTTTTTTTGTTCTACATAAATCGCACCTACATACTCTAACAGGTATTTGAATCAGAATAGCTGATTTGTTATATATAACACTAATTAAAATACAATTTCATATATTTGTAATATTTTGATTTAAAATTAGAATACTCATTTCGTCAGCTTATGTTTTCAACTTTTTAGTGAATCAGGTTAGACAGTAAACAGCTTTTGCCCCATGTGCTATTGAGCCCATGGGTTTGACAAAATGAGGCATATCACTAGATATTGGGCCAGTATGAAGTCTATGGGCCTGGTTTCATTAATTTGCAATTAGGTAGAGTTTTAAATTATTTATTTTCATTAAGATATACATATCTAACAAAATTAGTGTCAATTAGGGCAAGAGTCCGGCGAATTAAGAAGAACATTTGAAAATTAGTATAAGGAGTGACCCTCAAAATCCACGGTTATAAAAACAAAAAGGTTTAAGGTTGTGTTTCTAGAACTGCGATTTTTAGCAAGTTGATCCGTCAGAAATTCCTAAAATATCTTTCTCCATTATAGAAATTTGGACGGATTAACCTGTTTAAAACATTTCTACGAATAGCAATAGACTGCATAAATAGACTATGAGGCATGAGTGTGACATTATTATAACCATATATGTATTGAAATTTGAATTATTTATTCCTTTAGTTGAGGTTTAAAGTTGATTTTGATAGATCAATATTTGAGTATGCACTAGTGAAACACCTTTATTCGATACACCAATAATTGGGTTTTGGTATAAGGATTAGCTTTAGAAACGGCAATGAAAGAAAGTAAACAAAATGTAGCATTTGTAGGAAAAATAATTAAAATTGGCTTTATCCAAATATATAGCGCATTTTTAGCTAAAGTATTAAATATGTAAAATAATTTTTATAGATATCATAAACCTTGATTTGACCAAAAAAAAAAAGATATCATAAACCTTGATAAAAATAAGTAATTTAAAACTTTAGTAATAACCGCCATATCACATCGTCGTCGTACACATACATTGATAAATCATTAATGATTATTCCAATGTTGTTAGAAGAAAAAAACAAAAAAAATTAATGAGTGGTTTAACCCGAAACATTAAATAACAAAAGATCAATGATATTAATTAAAAGAACGACCAGGATTAATAATAAATGGCCAATCTCATCGAAGTAGAAGTCCTCGTCTCTCTCTCTCTCTCTCATTTCAAAAGAGAAGGGCGCTCTTGCGTACTCTCTGCTCGCCGCTTTTTCGCCATCGATTCTACAAAACCTCTCTCCCCTTCGCCATCGAAATTCCCAGATTACAGTATTTCTTCCTCAAACCCAGTTTATCACTTTCCAAATTGAAGGTGGGTCGTACTCAAAAAATTTAATATTACTCTCTGTGCAAGTCTAATCTAGCTTTCACCGACACCTGATGTTCCTCGTATTTTCAATGATTTTTGTTGCTTTCTCTATCACTGAAATGAATATACCCGCAACGATGCTTGATATACTTAAATCTTGTTTGCCTAGTAGTGATGCTTTTATGTTTGAAATTATTACTTAATTCCTGCTTTTTCCAGTCATTATATGAGCTCAAAACAGCTGTTACGAGTCTGAATCTATTGTGTTTTGTGTCAAATTCAGTTCTCTCTTCTAAAAGGCGCTCTAGTTGCGAATTCAACATTGCTGATTCCATTTTACTACTGGTCTTCTCTTCGTTGCAGAGCCGGATTGGTGTTTGAGAGGAACTTAGCTACGAGTTGGGGGATTTAATCACTAAAGCTCGGGGATTTTAGCTGTGCGCAAAAGAATTTCATTTATTATAAAGGTAAGATTACAATCAACTCAAGCTTTCTACATGTTTACAAGTTACAAAAGACCATTGGTTATATCTAACATCCTCCTTCTTGGTGCACGAAGTCTATCTGTCTTGACCTTGAGAATGTCAACTCACAATCTGTGAGAAGATTACTTCCTTTTGGCAGTCACCATTGTTTTCGGACTTGAAGAAGGCGGTGAGAATAAAACAGAGCTCAAAACGGGTGCACTCTGTTGTGTTGTGGCCTCAAGGCCACTGGTAACATCAAAATCACCACCCCACAGAGGAAGGGATGTTCCTTCATCGGGTCAGGATTATGCCCTGCAATGGCGGACAAATCTCAGCTACTCGCCTGCTGGATATACTAGAGATGGATTGCAACAGGATATGAGCGACGAGAGTCACGGCTTTGCATTCTACTCGAGCAGAAGTAGACAAAGTACAAGTCTGGAATCCTGTTTTCAGCAATCACCAAGATGGGCTTCAAACTCGTCAGCTTCTGGTGGCAATGAACACAAAACCTGCCGTGTTGAAAGTGTACCGAGATCGAACAGCTCAAAGCCTCAATGGTTGAATGAGGTAAGTTGATCGTCTTTACACTGTCTTTAATCTTCAAACGTGATGAGCTTCTCATGGTTTCATCTCTTTGATCTTATTTGTCACAGGAGAGAGGTTTTGACCAAGCATGTACAGCTATCTCGCCGAGTTTTAGGTCTTTGCTGTCTCACCCACCGTCATCTGCCACATGGGAGAGTCCAGGCAAGCAGCCTTTAAGACTTACTCCTTGCTCTTACCCTCGACTCTTCTGCAACCCAGTTTCAGACTGTGAGAATCCTGAACCTGACCATTCGCAAGAAGACTCATCCACAAATCCTGAATCCAGCTCTATGATGCCTACAAGAAACCATCAGAACTCGCCAGAAGAGGAAGCATCACCAAACCCGAGTAACAACAGCACAAGTAGCAATGGCATGGTGCTAGATGTGGAAAGGTCCAATGAAGCAGAAGTAGAAACCCAGAGATCTCCACCAGGTTCAGTGATAAACCAGAGATGCGGGGTTTGCAAAAAGCTCTTATCTCAGAAATCGCCTTGGTGCTCTTATAAGATATTGAGATGTGGAGACATGCCAGCCGCTGGTGTTTTCCCTTGCCATCACGTCTTCCATGTTGAGTGTTTAGACAAAGTGACCCCAACTGCTGAAACCCGAGAACCGCCTTGTCCTGTTTGCTCAAACGCCATTGGAGCAATGGAGCAGCCGCTGCTAGTGCCTGAAACATTGGAACTGGCACTGAGATCCCTCAGAAGAAGCCGCACAGCTCTGGGATCAGAAATACTTAATAGTTCTTGCAATGACAATGAAAGAAGACAGATTAGGAGACGAAGCCATAAATGGGAAACACTAAGCTGCTGCTTGAATATAAGCTTCTCATCTTCTTCCCGGAATTAAACATGACCAGATTCTATTAGGTTCTTCTATAACGCTTACATGGATCTAATCGTAATGTTAACCAAATGTTTCTGACCTATAATGATTCAGTATGCCACTATAACATAAAGGCTAAATCTTCAGACACTTTGTTTCAATCGAGAGAGTGTCTACGAATCTATAAACAGAAGCAATAGGCAACTTTGTCTACTTATAGACCAACGGAATCATATTCTGTATTGCAGGCTACAAAGAAAAACAACACACTGTAACTGTGAGACGGATCTCAATTCAGATTGAAACGAAAACAAAGGAGAAAAGAATTTGCTAATGAAGAAAACCAGAATCGACAAATTTGTATCAGCGATCAAAGGGAGCAAAAACAAAAACCCAGAAGAGAAAACATTGAATCAAATCAAAAATTTAAACACATATTTTTTTGGGTGGGAGTTAAAGCTCGCAAAAGCCATCACTGCGCCGATTAATCGTGCGCTCAGGGAGCAAGCAGTCTTCATCGCAGAAAACAAAGGGAAAATAAGGAAAAAGGCATCGAAACCTTTCCGTCACCGGAGCCGCCGGCCATAACCCTCGAAAGGAAGGAGATGGGGTTGCTCGTTGGTGAAGATCGGAAGAGGTCAGAGCCCTAAACCCTAAAAACCTTTTTCTCAGCTCAGATAAGATCAAGTAGTTTGAAGCTTTGTGCATCTTACTTGCTCCACTTTTATATTGCCTTTCGTCAAAACCCTAACCCCATCTTATCCTGAAATTCCAAGACTACCCTCAAGTAAAGAGATATATAACAAAACAGAGCCAGAACTACTTAAATATTGTTGACAAACCCCACAACTCCTGAAACGACATAAATGATCCCTACATTACGAATCCACATGTGAATGGAGCTTTCTGTTTACGCGTGCCGAGAAGGATCCATGGACACAAAACCATAAAGCCCTTGACATGGCCAAAGATTTCTTTAGCAACAGAGAGTTGTATGAAATAGAAACATTTACACCAAGAAGCTCTCTCTCAAACAAAAGACTGACATACAAAATGGAGAAAAGGAAAGAACAAAAGAGAGAGAGAGAGAGAGTTTGTGCTGTGTCAGTATGTGTTTACAGAGGAGAAGTCGTAGACTTGTGCATTTTGTTTTTCTCTTGTGCCTCTGGTGGCCGAGACGAATGGATTGCTGCTCTGTATGAAGATGAAGCGAGCTGTGCCAGTGCTGGTACAGTGCCACCTACAAACATTCACCCAAAGAAGGATACAGGATTCAAGATTCAGGGTATGTTTGAAAGATCAAAAGGAATTTATGTTTCATGATAGTATAAGCAGTGAAGGAAGAGGAGGAGATCTTCAAACCTGCTAGTCCAGCACAGGCCGATGAAAGAACTATAACAGGCGGTGCCTGCATCGATACAGAAATGAAAACAAGATCAATAAAATTCATCACCAAAGGATTGGACTAAATCATGTTTTCGTATAGTTTATGAATGTAACAAGAGAGGAACAAAGCATGAAGGAAAGAAGAGAATATAAGAAGGGAAGACTGCATCTTTGTTGATAACTTACCCCAACAAGAAAATGCAACCACATGGGCCCTTTTATCCACTTGCGTACAATTGGCATTGCTGCATCAATTCGAAAAGAGCATTAGAAACAAGCCAAACAGACTCAAGACTCTTTTGAGCAAGCTTTAATCTAACTGCTATAACTATAGTCTATAACCAACACATAGTACTGATACTAGAATGCCGATTGTTACAGAACTAGAGCAGAAGCCACACAATCGGGTATCAAATACACACAGGCCTTTCCTTGGATTAATCTACAAAACTACGATAATTCTTAAATGGCGAAGTGCTTCTCTTTTCTTATTCCAACTTAGATAACAATCCTAAAGTACGCACATAAGAAGAAGGCGTATGTCGATTACAGCCAGACACAGTCAAATATTCACGAGAAGATATTATAATTCAGACAGCAATCAATGCGAGACTTGAAGTCAAGAGGAACTATGCATACCATGGTTGAATCCAATGAATGCACTTGCAGTACCACCAACAGCTGATCCAATCTAAGATCATGTAAAACAAAACTATCAGAACATAAACAACTCATCCATTTAATCCATATGAAACAGACACAGACGGGAAGTTTTTTCACTCTCAAAAGGACAAGCTTTTTACAATTGCAGCAAGCTTAGTAAGACTAACCGAGTCGAATTTGGCTAAAAAGACCAAAAATTTCTTCAAAAGAAAGAAACTTACCATAGAAAAGCTATCCCTGATGAACGGAGCTACAGTCCATTCACTGGTTTCCTGAAATCAATCAACTTCCAATTAAAAATGTTACTCTATAAAAAAAAGACAAAAAAGAGATAACAAAATCATCATTTGACATAGAGAGATGTACTCAAGATCTGTAAATTGTATACAAACTGATGCTGGATGCGGAAAATACCAAATTTTTCGTAAGAGGGCCTGCGCAATGATGGCATCTGATTCCGATCTCATGCCCTGAATCTGTCATTTCTCCGCGGGAAGAAGAAGAGCCCGAGAAAACCTAAACGAGATTTTGTGGTCGTTTCTTCTCTTTGTTTTTGGGTCGTAGGGTTTATGCTCTGTTTAGCTGTCTGTTCGACACGAAAGATCCCACCGATCTCCTGCGGATGAGACTAGTTCCGTACCGATTAGCCAACCGTAGACAAGTCTTCTTAAGCAAACCGAGCCGATCCATGAACACTGAAAAGAACATTTAGACCGGTCAGAACCGGTTTATTCAGCTCCATCTATATTTTGGGAGGTGATATTATTGTTAAAGGTGGAATGTTTTTGCTTATCCAAGCCTATCTTTGGAATCTTACTTCTCCATGTTCGAAAGGGTTAAAAACAACTTTTTGAAATAAATGCATAAACGAATATAGAAGAAAGTAAAACGAACAAAAGAATGTATGTATAAACTAAAAAAGAAGAAAAAAACAAGAACGGATGCTACTAACTAGTTGCAACTAGACAATCAATCTTTAGAACGATCCGAGTTGTCGCATTTTGCGTTTTGCCCTCAGTTTTTACTAGTCTCATAATATATTCAAATCGAAATCACAAAACTGTTACATTTGTTATTTTCGGTTTGATGCAGACAACACTGTCTTGTGGTGAACACAAGACTCTCAATGATTCTCCCAATCTTTTGTTGTGTTTATAAGAATCAGAAAGATCACTGAAAAAACTTACAACTAAGTAAAGGCGGAAAGAAAGAGACCGGAATAGTCTCTTTTTGTGTGTGTGTGTTGGCGTTGAGATGAATAAAAAAGATTCTTGAGTTGAGAATGCGACTCACGAAGCTTTCTTAAGTTTTGGATTCTCATATTCTTATTCTGTAGAATCTCTCCAAAAGAATCTAATTCCGCGGCCATTTCCTGATTCCTATTGTTTCAATGTATCAAATCATCTCTTGTTCGATCAAGCAATTATGCAGCCCACATGTTTAATTATTCTCCCTATAATAAGTCAGTAAACAAGAACAAGATTCTATAAAAGGTTAATGATCGTACAAGGAAGATCATAGAGTAAAAAGTCAGTAAACAAGAACAAGATTCTATAAAAGGTTAATGATCGTACAAGGAAGAACATCTGCAGGTAGCCTCCTTTCAAAATGAGGACTCAAAAAAATGGCTTTGGTAAGATGAATGAAAAAAAAAAAGTATGCATTTGGTTAACTTATGTTTATGTAGTAAGACAAGAGAAGAGTATTAGACAAGATAACAGAAGTGGTGAGAATTATATTTCTCTAAATAATAATTAACGGAAACACATAACTAAAATCATTATCGCCTAGAAACTAGTCGCTTAGGTGGATATGCTTCGTTATATATTGGGAGAAACAAGTCAGTCTTTATGGTTTTCAGAGTCGGTGTTGCTTCCTTAGCTTCTGTGTCACAGAGAGACTTCCATATGTCCAAAATGTCAGATTCCATATCATTCCATGCAAACCCATTCGCCTCTGAAACGCTCTTGGCACACCCCAACTTCTCCTCTACCTTCTTCACCTCTTCTTTAACAAGAGACGTAAACTCTCGGTCACATGTTCCTCCTGATCTGAGAACATGGACAAGGCGATTCAAAAACACAAATCCATGAGCAAAATTCCCATGAGTCAGCCAAATCAATCCCACTTGGACCGAACTGTTGCCATCATTTTGATATACTCCATACTTGGGTTTGATATATTTGGTGTAGACATAATGCATGACACAAAGCAGCCTATCCATCACGTGAGTGTCATTAGTTGCGCCCATGTTTGCATCTCTCCATAATTTAAAACAAAACCATAACATAGTGCGAATGTCATCACACAACACGAACATGGACTGAGCCACATGTAGGGATAGCTCAACTCCTAGTCGCACAGCCTCATCTTTCATGTCCTCCTTCCCAGAGACCGTCCTACAAAACAGAAAAATAAGTCAATAACTCTGACTTTAACCTGAATGATTTGAACAAACTCTCAAAGGAAAGGGACTAAGTAACATTCACTGACCTAGAGCCCGCCCAAGGACGGATAGGACGCAGAACAATAGAGGTCAATCTTGATTCCTTCTCCAGCTTTCCAATAATCAAAACATTAGCAATTCAGAAAATACTTGTGGGAATCATAAAAACGCAATTTAATTGAGCAAACATAAAGAAGAAATACAAAAAGTGGATTTACTTCGTGATATAGAGGGAGAAACAAGTCAATTTGAGTCGGTGTTGCTTCCTTAGCTTCTGTGTCATAGAGAGACCTCCACATGTCCAAAATGTCAGATTCCATCTCATCCCAGGCAAACCCATTCGCCTCTGAATCGCCCTTGGCACACCCCAACGTCTCCACTATCTTCTTCACCTCTTGTTCAACAGGGGACGTAAACTCTCGGCCACATGTTCCTCCTGATTGGAGAACATGGACAAGGCGATCCAAAAACACGAATCCATGAGCAAAATTCAGATGAGTCGGCCAGATCAATCTCCATTGGACCGAATTGTTGCCATCTATTCGATATGCTCCATTCTTGGGTTTGATATACTTTGTGTAGACATATTGCATAACACAAAGCAGCCTATCCATCACGTGAGTGCCATTAGTTGCGACCATGTTTGCATCTCTCCGTATTTTAAAACAAAACCATAACATAGTGCGAATGTCATCACACAACAAGAACATCGACTGAGCCACATTTAGGGATAGCTCAACTCCTAGTCGCACAACCTCCTCTTTCATGTCCTCCTTCACACCGACGATAGAGGTCGGTCTTGATTCCATCTCCGGCTTTCCAATCATCAAAACATTAACAATTCAGAATTATACTTTCCATAAGCAGAAAATATTCATTAAAAACGCAATCAAATTGTGCAACGTAAAGAAGAAATATAAAAAAGAAAAAGCCCCGGCATAAACTAATTGATCGCAATTTTGAAACCCCTGAACCAGAATCGATATGACATCAAAGTTTCTAGAAAGCAAAATGCAGTTATGATAAAGTTTACTTATAATAATAATGTTAGGGTTTTGTTTCTGAAACCAAATCCTGAAGGAATGATCAGAATCGCAGCGGAGACGAAAAAGCACCCAAATCAGAGATAAACATAGATACGTAGAACCGAATAGCTGAGATACTGATACGAATCTAAAGGTGTATATACCTGTGTGTTTTTAGACGATGACGAACGAAATAGAAGAAGAAGAGACCCCCACGAGAGAGAGAGAGAGAGAGAGAGAGAGAGAGAGATTAATAGCTATTTAATTATTACCAACAGAAGCAACTTGAACAAAGCGACACAATCTTGGGAACTAAAACACGCTGAATTCGATTTCAACACATTGTAAAAATCTGTACAATGAATATTCTCACTTCTCAGACCAAAAATAAAAACCTAAATGTACCTTCTGGACTCTTCTTGTATCTTTAGCCATAGAGTAATGATGTTATTATTTCATCAAGCAAACGGTTTGGCGTTATTTACCGAACCTTCTAAACCGGCTGGTTAAACTGGTACGTTTACTCAGAATTAATGAACCAAATAAAAGATAATTTTATGAGTGATTGAGTCAATTATTCCCCCGAATTACAGAGTTGATTTTGGTTCTAGCGTTATAATTAGCGTGTAAAACCATAATAAGTAGATTAGTACAAAGAAAACGTAGGTAGATTAGTATTCGTAATTTCGTTTTCTTCTATGTACTAACCTAATCTAACATACATACAGTATATGAACCGAAAACATGTTATGTTGCCTAGTTGCCTTTAGAACAGTCAGGAAACGTTACACACATACATGCATGCATACATAAATAACAGAAGCATGCATGGATATGGGCTAAATATGTTGTGCCAATCAAAGAATGTAAGATATGGGTCCCCCTCTAACTTTTATACTTGTTTAGTGGGAATAGGTACTAAAATTTTGGTGAAGGAGACGGCATGAAATATCATCATTCGCTTTCTCACGTCTGAATTATATATTTCGAGACAAAACAATGTTGAAACAAAAACTTTCATGCTATCAAACACTTGCGCATTGCCCTCAATTTTTACCAGTCTCATATATATGTTACATTTGTTTTTTTCGGTTGGATGCAGACGACACTGTCTTGTGGCGAACACAAGACTCTCAAATCTCAATGATAGTCCCAATCTTTTGTTGTGCTTATAAGAATCACAAGATCACTTAAAAAAAAAACTTATACTAAGTAAAAGCGGAAAGAAAGAGACCGGAATAGTCTCTTTTGTTGTTGTTGTTGTGTGTTGGCGTTGAGATGAATAAAAAAGATTCTTGAGTTGAGAATGCGACTCACGAAGCTTTCTTTAGTTTTGGATTCTCATATTCTCATTCTGTAGAATCTCTCAGCAACCCACTTTTCGTCTCCATTTTCTCTCCAAAAGAATATAATTCCGCGGCCATTTTTCTGATTCCTCTTGTTTTAATATATCAAATCCTTTCTTGCTCGATGAAGCAATCACAATCCTACGATGCAGCCCACGTGTTTAATTATTCTCCCTATGGAAGATCATAGAGTAAAAAGTCAGTAAACAAGAACAAGATTCTATAAAAGGTTAATGATCGTACAAGGAAGAACATTTAGCCTGCTGTATCACTCTTATCTTTTACTTAAAGAGTGACATTTCAACGAGCAAAGTAAAGGAAAGAAACAGGAGCAAGACTAATGAACCAAGCACAAAGTAGATTTCAACACAGATTAAAGAAAAAGGCCATACTCAAAACTTGATATTTTTCTGAAACTACATTTGATAGAAAACATAAAATTTACCTATGAATATCTGGTAAAAGTGAAACCAATCAAAAAGAGTTCAATCATAGATTTTGCTTGGTTTAAGTTACTTTAGTTGGTAATCAAATTGACTTATAAAACTTGCAGCACACAATATGAAGCCTCTCTTTGTGGAAGCATATTCCCATCCACATGCCAATCAACTATTTAGGCAATATGCTGAAATACTTTTAACTGAAGGTTATCAAAGGTTCTTTACCAAACAGAATAAAGTGTTAATGAGAAATCAGAACCATGATATTTCGCCAAAAAAAATATGCAAAGATATCATTCAAAGAACATAAGATTTGTTTTTGACAATTTCCCTTGGAACAATAGACCATATATCTACTAATTTTTTTCTTTCTTTCTAAGGCATCTATCAAACTCATTAAGATATGTGAGACTCTATACTGGATAGTGGATATATTCTCAATTGCACATAGAGAAGCCATAATTTCAGCATTTGGCAATCAATACATATCTCTATCTAAGAACTTATTCCATATAGATGTATATATATATATATATATTATACATGAATGTATCTCTATACTTAATCAGGCAGGAGAAATATAACTGTGACGTCCAAATCAAAATCAGATCCAAACCACAATATGATTATGATGGAATTTAAAGCTATAGCCATCGTTTAAACTTTAAAGTGGATTCAGTGAAGTATTAATTAAGTGTAAGAAACAGCCAGAATTAGATGTATAGATCCTTCAGGAGCTTATACATCTATATACATATAATATGTACAGATGAACACATAAACACAAACACTATTCATACAAATATGGAACATGTTATGTTGCATTTTAGAATTGATAAAGGTAACACACATACATACATGCATGCATGCATACATAGATAACACAAGCATGGATGGGCCAAATATGTTGTGCCAATCAAAGAATGTAAGATAATGGGTCCCCAAGTAATTTTTATGCTGTTTAGATGGAATAGGTACTGATTATCTTTATGAAATATTAACTTGTTGAAGAGACATCATGTTCATTCGCTTTCTCACGTCTCTTGATTATCTTTCAAGACAAAACAATGTTGAAACAAAAACTTTCATCACCCTTGCTATCAAATATTTGTTCATAAAAACCATACCGATATCACACTCATGAAACATGGCCAAAGAAACCACTCATCTGATATCGATAAAATGAATCTAACTGAAAGTTTCAACAGAAAATGTTTAATTAAGGCTTAGGATGTAACTAGAGACTGAAGATATAACTCTCAAGTAGGAACAAAAAACAATGCAGACAAGTGGAAAGCATTGGGAATATTCCTTCGAGAGATAGAGAGGTTAGAGCTGTGGACTTTGAAAAAAAAACTGAGGTATAAGGATAGAGAATGAATTCCCCTGCCCAAGTAGAAAAGTTGTCAAATTTTTTTGGGGAGAATAAGATACTTTGGTATGCCAGAATGGTGAAAGAATTCGCATATGATGCACTAATTTTTGGGATCAATTCTGGTATCTAATGCAAGGCTTGAATTGCGCTCAAAAAGTTGTAGTCCATAGGAATCAAAACAAGAAAATAATAATAAATTAATAATCTAAGCAAATAACCTACAGTTTTTTAAACGATAAGAACACAAACAACAAAGCTAGGATTGGACCAGTTATTCATATTCCATACCTTAAGAGTTATCATCCTCTAATTTACCTTTTTTCTTCTCCATTCAACTTTCTATATAAAGCAAAGTTACAAAGACCTTTTACACTTGAGAGACCCCGGCCTAAGAGAGAAAGAGCATAAATAAGGAAAACGGCAAAGACATCTTCCCAAGTTGGTGGAGTTTGCAGTGTGTATCTCTGAACTCAGAGCAGCAAGCTGTATTTTTAAATTGTGTCAGGTAAAAAGAAAAACAACATTTGGTCTTTACACTCATTATTTTTAATGCAGTGTTGCTAGGTGAAGATAAACTTTATAACACTTTTATTTTAAAGACAGACTTATGTATTACCACAACCAGCACCAAGGAAAGAGCATCCTCTCTTCATCGAGAGTGCCTATTCCTTCTGAAAGACATCAGTTCCTACGAGGAAATGGCACGGGAGATTCTGGTCTTATCCTCTCGACCGATGCTAAGCCACGACTAAAATGGACTCTGGATCTTCACGAGAGATTCGTTGAAGCAGTCAACCAGCTCGGAGGAGGAGAAAGTAAGTTATATATTATCAGCTGAAGAACCATCTTTAAAACAATCAAGATTCTATGCATAATAATACTAATGTGTATACACTTTTGTGTATCTGCAGAGGCTACTCCAAAGACAATTATGAAAGTCATGGGTATTCCAGGCCTTACTCTATACCATCTCAAGAGTCATCTTCAGGTACGCTATATATCAACACTTTATAGAGACGTGTCCTCTCTGTTATCTCCTTTACAAAGGTTAATTAATTTCATGATTTGACTTACCAGAAATATAGGCTGAGCAAGAATCTTAATGGACAAGCTAACAGCGGTATGAACAAGACAAGTAAGCTTAGTTTTTCATTACGCAGAGTCAGATTCTTCCAAATTAATGATTCATGTTGCATTTTTCTTCAAGGAACTAAAAGTAAAACCTGGTTTATAGGTGTGATGACTATGGTAGAGGAAAACGCTTCTGAAGCAGACGAAAGTCACAGCGAGAGTTTAAGCATTGGACCACAGCCGAGCATGTAAGAATATATATATGCCTATTTGCTTTACATATTCTTATAATTTTTTAAACTTTTCACAAAGTAATTTATATATTTGTGTACCCCAGAAACTTGCCCATAAGTGATGCGCTTCAAATGCAAATAGAGGTTCAAAGAAGGCTACACGAGCAACTTGAGGTATCACATATTGTCCTCTATGGATTCACTCTATTTAAAGCAGCAATCACTGTTTGTAACTTCTGCTCCTATATTAGTACCCAACTAAGACCAATCGAGACGAGTCTTGTTCACTAATTATCATGAAAAAGATATAAAAAAACTAATGTGTATTGTTCAACATTTATCTACGAAGAGGGGGCAGTTTATGTACTAAAACATGTAGAAAGAAACACACATGTACAGAACATCAATAGAGGATGTAACTACTATCTAGAAACAGAAAAGAACACATTAGTTATGATATCATTAAAAATATCTTAAACTGAGCCAGGTACAGCGACATTTGCAGCTCAGGATAGAGGCTCAAGGGAAGTACCTTCAAGCGATTCTGGAGAAAGCACAAGAGACTCTTGGAAGACAGAACCTAGGTCCTGCTGGGATCGAAGCAACTAAAGCTCAACTCTCAGAGTTAGTATCTAAAGTGTCAGCAGAATATCTAGACACTAGCTTCCTAGAACCTAAAGAAGTTCAGAGCCTGCCTCATCATCAACAGATGCAAACGACCTATCCACAAAACTCCTCCCTGGAAAGTTGCATAACCTCAAGTGAAGGAAACCATAAAGCTCCAAAGATGATTGAGAACAGACTCGGATTAAGAACATATATTGGAGATTCAACTTCAGAGCAGAAAGAGATAATGGAAGAACCATTCTTCCATAAAGTGGAGCTCACGTGGGGAGAAGAAGAAGGCCTCAGAGATAGTAACAGGCCGTATCTCTCCACAATACGCCATAACAACGCAGAACCGAGAACCTCAAGAAGCCCTGGAGGATTGTCGATGGGAGTGGGGTTACATGAACAACACAGAGGAGGGAGCAGCAACAGTGGTTACACAGAGGAAAGATTCAACGAGAACGGCCAAGATTGCAAGCTTGAAACACGCACCAGAACAGCTCTTGATCTTAACACACGTGACGACAACTACGGCACGACGCGTCCGAAACAGTTTGATTTGAATGGTTTCAGCTGGAACTGAGATGAAGAAGTCTAAAAGCTAAAAAGACTGCACCAAACCTCAGAATTGAATTATTAGTTGAACCAACTTAAGACATCTTGTGCAAAATGTACACTACTATATGCGTAGTTATTATATATATCTCATATAATACAGATCCACTTGAGAAATAACATTATTGAAAATTGCTTACTTCTCAACACTACAATCAAAGTTAGTGTTTTTAATTGATGACATGTAAATGTGACATGTCAAACTTTCTAAAATAAACTAAATGTTTTGATTGGTTGAATTGAAATTATAGAAATTATGGAATTAAAACATAAATAAACTAAATTATATTTATAACACTAAAATTAACAAATTTAAATTAACAGAAAATAAAAGCTATTATAATTTTATTTTTTACATATATTCATAATTTTATAAAAAATAAATACGAAATTTTTTCAACAATATATATATTATAATTTCATATAAAAATAAAAAATAATATTAAACTATCCAATAGAATAGTAAAAATTCTATTTATTAATAATACTTTAAGTATGATATATTTTTATTTCGGAAAGTTATCAATTAAATCTAAAAAAGTTTTAAATAAACAAATTATTAAATAATACAATTTTAAATAAAATAAAATCATGATAAAATTAATTTAAAGAATAAAATGTTAAAATAATAAAAATAAATAACTTTTATTGATTTTTTTTTTTAAAAAACGTAATTTAAAAAAAAATATTTTCAAACCAATATTTACTAAATGAATAAAGTATATACTAATTATTATTTTATAATATTAATAGGACCATATATTTTTCTATAACTTTTATCATCTTTTTATTGTTGTTTTCTAAAATGTGCATAATTTATGTTACCATCTCATCTTATCTCTTATCATATTTTAAATAAAAATAAAATTTTATATCATATTAATATATATACATAATTTTGTTTTCATTGTATATCAAAAATTTGAGATCATAAATGAATTGAAAAATAACTGAACGAAAGAATAAATTATAATAAGAAGAAACAATATGAATAAGAGATAAAAATAGAAGTATATAAAAAAAAATCTCTCGCCTTTTGTTTTACAAAGTCACTTAAAAAAATTTTAACACGTAAGAGCAATCCTAATGAAAAACTTTGGATGACTAAAACAAAAGATCTTAATAATAAAAAAAAAAAAAAAAAAAATAGTGAAATGGTCTTAAAAAATAGACACAGTGTCTAAAATATGATACTTTTGTTGAGTTTTAGACAATAAAATATTTTTAAAACCTTCTTAATAAGTTCTCAATTGGGGTTGGTCGCCATATTTCAATTTTTTTTCAAATACACGTACATATATAAATATTAGTTGTACATTAGTTAAAGTCACATGCGAACTTTTTCGTGCATGTATTTTGTTAAGATTGATTATAGTCTATTTTTTATTATAATTATTATCCAATTTATATTTTTTTAAATTTTTTTTATTATTCTAAGTGTAGTGAAGTTATTGGTATGCCCGCACATGCGTGCCAACCATCTATCCGCTCTTAGAAATAAATAAAAATAGTAAAAACTATTTCAGTTTAATTTGCAATAAATGAAGAAAAATATATATTTAAAATATATTATATATGTATTTACAAACTCATATTATGTAAGACGCAAAAAAACATATTGTAGATTGTGTAAGGAGAAATAAAGCATATTAATATTATAAAATTTAATTATTATTTAATATAACTTTTATATTTGTGATTATATACTATTACAAACATTATAAAAATAAAAGTAATAAAATACATTGATTTCAGAAAAAAGTTTGTGAAATATTAAAACAATATATATATATATAAATATACAAATATTTAAAATTTAAATATTACAATTAACTATGTATATCAAAAAAATTATACCCGTACATATGTGCGGGCCAACCACCTAATGATTTACTAAAACTTCATAGATGGAACTTGGAAGATATTCATATTCTTTTTTAATGAAAAACGTTCATAGAGAGACATCATCAATTCATCATGATCATGAACAAGTGCGTGTACAAGTATGTAAAACTCTGTGATCAATTATATTCGGTAATTAAACATACTAACAACAGAACTTTGTAAGAAAGCATTTTCCGACCCTAAAGATACAATTTTCGAGTGTAACTCTGTTTCAACTGTGATCACTAAAATTAAGAGGGAAAACCAAAACCTAAAAAGGACAAAAAGAAGAATAAGGGGTCCAATTCGGAAAGTAATAAAAATAAGGGGGCAAATCGGAGAAAAAAAGCCCGCTATATGTAGATTAATTTTGGGCCGTCAATGTCGAACTCGTATTCTAACTCGTTCCGATTTCGATATCATCCTTAACGATCCAATCAATTCATCGGTAGTTACACATCATCTTCTTCCTCTCGCTCTGAAAGCGAAAACCCTATTTCTTCTAGTCACCAATTAAATCCGGCGGAAAAAAAACCTAATATACTTTCACCGGGACTTTCCCGACCAAAACCTGACGAGCTAAAATTCTCGGAGTCTCTTCTCTGCTTGGGCTGGAATGGGTGCGAGTCGCAAATTACAAGGCGAGATAGATCGGGTGCTGAAGAAGGTTCAAGAAGGCGTTGATGTTTTCGACAGCATCTGGAACAAGGTAGCGTTTCATGGTCGCAATGATTCCAATTGATTGTTTGCTTTTTTTTTTGTTTTTCAATTGTTGTTGATAATATAGAGAATGCAAGAAGATCTATAGGAGATAACTTTACATTTTGCGTGTTAGGAAGTGTGTATCATCTCAACATTATAATTTGAGTTTACCGAAGCAGTGAGTGAGATGATCTATTTGCGTTAGAGCAAGAAAGAATCTGATGCGATTTTAATTGGCCTTTAAGCTAATTCAATTTGGATACTGATAGTGTTCGAGTCTAGCTTGAATTTTTGTTTGCTTTGCTGAATTTGGTTCCTCATAAGTTTTTGTCTGTTTGTTTTGTGAGTAAATTTTCCAGTGGAACTCAATATCGAGCTCCCGTTTGTTTTTTATGCAGTGGAATGTGAGCAGAATGTTTGTTTTCGAAGCAGAAAAGTTTTTTACTGGACAGAGGACAAACCCGGTTTCGGACTTTTTTGGTGTTTCAGGTATATGATACAGATAATGTAAACCAAAAGGAAAAGTTTGAGGCGGACTTGAAGAAGGAAATCAAGAAGTTGCAGCGGTATAGAGACCAGATCAAGACATGGATTCAGTCCAGTGAGATCAAGGATAAGAAAGTCAGTGTTCCTCGTCTTCTAAGCCTCGTCATCTTATTACCCATCTGTTCTAGATTCAACTGAGTACACTGTCTGTCATTTGATTTAGGTCAGTGCATCGTATGAGCAATCCCTGGTTGACGCTCGGAAGCTCATTGAGCGAGAGATGGAGAGGTTTAAGATCTGTGAGAAAGAGACCAAGACAAAAGCTTTCTCTAAGGAAGGACTGGGTCAGCAACCTAAAACTGTAAGGACTTCTCTACTTTTCCTTATTTTCCAATCAAAACGATGTGATATTGAAGTGTTTGAATAATTGCTCAGGAATATCTGGTTTGTCAGTGCTTTTGTTGTTCATGTTAATCTGATCAAGGAAATATCTCACGCATTGTTCAGATTGCCATTTATATAGCTAGACACTTGGGTTCATATTCGTAGAATATTGCATTCCGGAGCAGTGTAGTGCAAGCTGTCAATTTCTCATTTTTAGAGTAGATGTTGGAAAATATGTATCAATGAGTGTTTTTCTACTGCTCCATTGTAGATATGAACAATTTTTCCTTCTAGCAACGTCATTGAGTTACTATCAAAACATTTCTAGTTTTTTTGAAATCGTTTGGAAAGACTTTGGGTGGACTTATGTATTACTTAAAGCTCTGTTCGGTAGTCATTCTACTGATTGTGTCAGCATCATGTCTAATAGGACCCAAAAGAGAAAGCAAAGTCGGAGACAAGGGATTGGTTAAACAATGTGGTAAGTTGTCTTGACGTCTTCATACTTCATTAATTATTGAGTCGTGAACCCCTCCTTTCACAGAAAATTTAAAGCGAATTTATGTTAATGGGGTTTGTGAAACCTCTAGGCTAATTATGGTTGATGTGCCAGAGAAACTAGATAGTTAGGTCGTTCTGGATCATCTCAAATCATTGCTTTAGCTGATTGATCACTCTTTTGTTTTTTTGCTTTTGATAGGTGAGTGAGCTCGAGTCGCAGATTGATAGCTTTGAAGCTGAGTTGGAAGGACTGTCTGTCAAAAAAGGAAAGACAAGGCCGCCTAGATTGGTAAGTTCTGAAAAATATGCGTCGGTATGCAAATGCTTGGTTCCTTACTGTTGGTGATTTTTGTCATTTGTTTTGTTTTCCCTTTCAGACACATCTTGAGACATCTATTACAAGGCACAAGGATCATATAATTAAGTTGGAATTGATCTTGAGGCTTCTGGACAATGATGAATTAAGTCCAGAACAAGTAAATGACGTCAAAGATTTTCTGGACGATTATGTTGAACGAAATCAAGTCTGTATCATCTATAACCTTGAATATTTTGCTTATATGTGTTTTCATATAATTAACTCTGGTTTCCAACAATATGATAATGTTTAGCTTTTCTCTATGTAGGATGATTTTGACGAATTCAGTGATGTCGATGAGCTCTATAGCACGTTGCCACTTGATGAGGTGGAGGGTCTTGAAGATCTTGTTACAGCTGGACCCCTCGTTAAGGTGAATTTTTCTTGTAATTTTATCTCTTAGTTTTCTATCTGTTGAAATGGGAAGAGCTGTGTCCGTTTGGCAAAAAGAGCGCAGGAATTCAGTAACCCTTTGTAAAGAGATTAGTTCAGGACATTTCACTGTAATCATCAGTCATATAGCTTTAGATTTAGCAATAACATAACTTAAATATGTCAGGGTACTCCTTTGAGCATGAAGAGTTCTTTGGCAGCGTCAGCATCTCAAGTTCGGGTAAATATTCCTATGTCCCTTTGTTTGAAGAATATTTGTTAATGTATATTTGTTTTGGTTTATGTTTCAGAGCATAAGTTTGCCAGCACATCATCCGAGTACTTCTCAAGATAAGGCAGAGGATACAACTTTACCGGATAGCAGTTCTGAGACACTTCCGAAAACCCCTCCCCCAAAGAATGGCGCAACCCTTCACTCAGCTCCATCAACACCCGTCGGGGGACGTCCAAGTTTGAATGTGCCCGCCAGTAACGTTTCAAATGCACCAGTTGCCTTATCGACTTCTATTTCTGTTCAAACTTCTACAGAAAGTATGGGAAGTTTGTCTCCAGTGGCTGCCAAGGAAGAAGACGCAACAGCCTTGACTTCCCGTAAACCACCTTCATCTGTTGCTGATGCTCCATTGAGGGGTATTACTAGAGTTGGTATCCCCAGCCAGCCCCAACCAAGTCAGCCTTCATCTCCAAGTCCAGCTAATGGAGCACGCATTAGTGCTACCTCAGCAGCTGAAGTTGCAAAGAGAAATATAATGGGAGTTGAGAGCAACTCCCAACCTCCAACTTCTCCTCTGAGCAAAATGGTATTGCCACCAACTGCGAAGGGTAATGATGGAACTGTCTCTGATAATAACCCTGGTGATGCTGCGGCTAGTATCGGTAGAGCGTTTTCACCATCTATCGTACCTGGTTCACAGTGGAGGCCTGGGAGTCCCTTTCAGAGTCCGAATGAATCGGTACGTGTTTTGAAATTCAAATCATAACCCCAAGGATCGGTGGGACATCTGCATTAAGTTGGTAGTCTGAGCAATGTCATGGCTTTACTTGTGTTAGTTATTCTCCTATTCTGGAGTTATACTTCCGAAAAAACTTCCGGGTCATTTAATTTGTATTTCTATGTAGAATTGGGTTTACACTCTAACATAATCCTTCTTAGGCTCTCTTTTGAGATGTATTCGTAGCGCTATACATTCCATATGCTTGGTTAAGGTTTTTTGTCCCTTGGTTTGCCAGGTTCTACTGTGTTGTGAAATATGTACATGTTTTTTGGCTTTTAGGTCCGTGGTAGAACTGAAATAGCACCAGATCAAAGAGAGAAATTTTTACAGCGGTATCAGCAAGTACAACAAGGCCACGGTAACCTCTTGGGCATACCTTCTCTATCTGGAGGAAACGAGAAGCAGTTTTCTTCACAACAGCAAAATCCTCTTTTACAGCAGGTATATCTTATTTTTTTGTATGTTGTGTACTTACCAGGTCTTGAGCACGTACGATTTGAATTTTATGGAATAATTACATGATTATTAATAATGGTTCTTCAAAGTTCCATCATAGTAAGAGATAATCTTTTCTAATCTGTTTTTTCAGAGCTCTGCCATCTCTCCTCATGGTAACTTGGGAATTCAGGCACCAGGTTTTAATGTCATGAGTTCTGGCTCCTTACAGCAGCAGTCAAATGCCATGTCTCAACAGTTGGGTCAGCAGCCTTCTGTTGCAGGTAATAATCACCTTTTAGGCTATCTCTGTGGTTTATGGTATGATTTTGGATAGACAATATTTCTGTGTTTAACTAACACAATCTTTGTGATTATAATCATTCTTTGTGATTTTAAAATTTTAATCCACAATATATCTAAGATTTATATTATTTGCTTATAATCATTCTTTGTGATTTTAAACCACTTTGCGAAGGAGTTTTCCACATCGTAGCAGTTACTTAAATCCTAGAGCTCAGTTTTTGCTGATGTTTGTGCAGATGTAGATCATGCCAGAAATGATGATCAGCTGCAGCAAAACTTACCTGATGATTCAACTTCCATAACAGCTTCAAAAGCTATGGCAAATGAGGATGACTCTAGAGGTCTATTTGATACTCCGGTAAGCAAGATCTGTGCTCACATTTATTAGTCGTTAGCATCTCTTTGATACACGCTTTTCCATCTGATAGATTTTAACTAAAAGTTTAAAATGAATAAAACTAGTATGTCTTTTTTGGTTTTGGTGAGTGTTTTGATTTTTCATTCCTTCGCTTAAACTTCAATAGTGACTGTTATGGATGCACAGAATAATAATCTCTGTATTCTAATTCAACCACGTAGCTAACTATGGCTGGCCTCTTAACGTTCCTTGTCTTTTTTGGTTTTATCTACAGTCGGGAATGCCCAGCTACATGTTGGATCCAGTACAGGTGACTAGGGACGGTCCTGATTTCTCTCCTGGACAACCCATACAACCCGGTCAACCTTCAAGTAGCCTCGGGGTCATTGGGCGTAGAAGTAACTCTGAATTAGGAGCCATTGGTGACCCTTCAGCTTTAGGGCCAATGCAAGAACAGATGCACAATCTCCAGATGCTTGAAGCTGCTTACCAGAGGCTTCCTCAACCCAAAGATTCAGAACGTCCTAGGCCCTATACTCCGGTACACCATTCTTCTGAACTCTATTTGGCCTCGTCACTTAATAACAATATTCTCGCTTATAATTTCAATATTCCCGGTGATTTTGAACAGAGGAACCCAGCAATCACACCTCAAACATTTCCACAAACGCAAGCGCCAATTATAAGCAACCCTTTGTTCTGGGAACGTTTAGGCAGCGACGCATATGGAACCGATACTTTGTTCTTTGCATTTTATTACCAGCAGGTACTAAAACGTCAAACCCATCTTTGATTTTTCATCTTCTTTTTCCCTTAGCCTTACTCTCTCTGTTTTTTTTCCCCCTGGGTTTGTTTAGAACTCGTATCAGCAATATCTAGCTGCAAAAGAGCTGAAGAAACAGTCATGGAGATACCACAGAAAGTACAACACTTGGTTTCAGAGACACAAAGAGCCAAAGATTGCAACCGATGAGTATGAACAAGGAGCCTATGTTTATTTCGATTTCCAAACCCCTAAAGACGAGAATCAAGAAGGAGGATGGTATGATTTGATTCTTGTTTTTGATTATCGATTCTTCTTCTTCTTTTTTTTTTTTTTGTCATGAAGAGATTATAATCGTAATTCTTTACCTTGGAACGTCTGTGTAGGTGTCAGAGGATCAAAAACGAATTCACATTTGAATACAGTTTTCTTGAAGACGAACTTGCTGTATAGAAGAAAAGAGTGAGAGATATATGTTCTATATGTATATACTCTTCCGCAAGTGCTATTTCCTGCGTCTATTTGTATTCTTCTCTTCAATAAACTAATTACTTTTCGTTTCAAACTTTGAATTCTTTGTTGAGTACTCTAAATGACGAAAGCCAATAACAAAAAATCTTTAATGCGTCCATTAATCCTAAAACCGAATATTCGAAGGAAAAAAAAACTAATATTTTAGGTTTTATGCATCGCACAATCTACAAGTGCTGTTTTCCTCTTTTTGTATAATTGTTGGCCTATACACATTTTATTAAATTTAAATGTGATGTGAATTTATGGGGTTTCCGAATTTTATTGAGATACAATCCAAATATGTACGTGCTTGTCTAATGCTAAATCATAATTATATTCCAGCTGCAAATTAAAACGAGAATGTGCATGTACCGAAGATTATGCAGCGTCGGTTTAATAAACTTGAAATAAAAATGGTTCCCGGCTATGATTTATGAGCAAAGGCTTGTTTTGTGGATCGGTGGGCATTTCGTCAACAGAAGCACGTGGAGAGTGTGGCTTTCGGGATTTGACCTGAAGGACGGCGTCGCTCTGCGTGCCAATCAGACAACTACTTAGATCCCAAGCAATTCACTTTGCGTTTTGCTAAATGTAATAAACACATCTCAATGATCGACCAAAAAAAAAGATACTACATTTAGGAGTTACCTCAACAGATCTGCATTTAATACGTTTAAGTCATACATCTACTTTTTAAGAATTCTTCTTAGTAAAAATCATAAAACGGATTAAAATTTGTTATTAATTTTTTTAAAAAATTAACGTGTATTCTTCTTCTTCTTCTTCTTCTCTGTTTCATTCTAACTCTCTTCGATTGTACTCATAGACCAACAATAAAACCCTTACTGATTATTTTCCTGCAAAGCACAAATATTTTTGGGTAAATCATCAAAATCCCAGATCATCATATATTTTTTTTTCTTCGAAAGGCGCCTAAAAACAGAGTAAACACAAAATGAGTAATCCTCGGAAACAGGGCACCACCACCTACATCTTCCTCTGCATCACCATCTCCGTCGTATCTTTATTCTCCGGAAACGTCTCCGCCTTAGGAGTAAACTGGGGAACGATGGCAACTCATCAGCTACCTCCAAGGACGGTGGTACAGATGCTGAAAGACAACAACGTACAGAAAGTGAAGCTTTTCGACGCCGACACAAACACCATGGGAGCTCTTGCCGGCTCCGGCATCGAAGTTATGGTGGCAATCCCTAACGATCAGCTCAAAGCCATGGGAAGCTATAACAGAGCTAAAGACTGGGTCAGAAGAAACATCACTCGTTTCAACGACGCCGTTAAAATCAAGTAACTTCGAAAGTTTAGATTTTTCACCCAAAAACAAAAAAAAAGGAAAGAAATTGAAGAGCTTTTGGTACTAAATTTAGCTTCTTTGCAGATACGTCGCCGTCGGGAATGAGCCGTTCTTGGCATCTTACAATGGATCATTCATAAACCTAACTTATCCAGCACTCTTCAACATCCAAAACGCATTAAACGAAGCCGGAGTCGGAGATTTCATCAAAGCCACCGTACCTTCAAACGCCGACGTCTACAATTCTCCGCCGGAAAACCCAGTTCCTTCCGCCGGAAGGTTCCGTCAAGACATCTTTGAAGAGATGAAACTCATAGTCAACTTCTTAGCTCATAACAAAGCTCCGTTCACAGTCAACATTTATCCTTTCCTAAGCCTTTACCTAAGCAGCGACTTCCCTTTCGACTACGCTTTCTTCAACGGCCGAAACACCGTTAACGACAACGGCGTTATCTACACAAACGTCTTCGACGCCAATTTCGACACCCTCTTGGCTTCGCTTAGAGCATTGGGCCACGGAGACATGAAGGTTATTGTCGGAGAAGTTGGTTGGCCAACGGATGGTGACAAGAACGCTCATATCCCAAACGCAGAACGCTTCTACGCAGGTCTGCTTCCGAAGCTAGCAGCGAACAGAGGAACACCTTTGCGTCCCGGTTACATAGAAGTTTATCTCTTCGGTTTCATCGATGAAGATGCAAAGAGTATAGCTCCTGGAAACTTTGAACGTCACTGGGGGATATTTAAATACGATGGCCAACCGAAATTCCCGGCGGATTTGTCAGGGAAAGGTCAGAAGAAGATCTTGACCGGAGCTCAGAGTGTTCAGTACTTGCAGAGACAATGGTGCATGCTAAATCCTAATGGACACAGTTTCAGTAACAACGTTAACCAGCTTGGTGATAACGTTAACTACGCGTGTACTTTCTCTGACTGCACCTCTTTAGGGTATGGTTCCTCTTGTGGTGATCTTGATGAGGTCGGGAACGCGTCGTATGCGTTCAACATGTATTTTCAGGTGCAGAATCAGAAAGCAGAGGCGTGTGACTTTGAGGGGCTTGCTATGATCACCACCCGGAATATCTCTCGACAAGAGTGTAATTTTCCGATTCAGATCGGAGATCCAACATCAGGACATTGTGGTCATAACTATAGTATGGTTCTATTGGGTCTGGTTAGTATGTTAGTGCTCTGTATGGCATTATGAGCTTTCCGGTTTTGCTTCTTGATTGGATTTTTGGCTTTTGAAATAATTCGAACAAAAATTTAGTATATATCAATTTCAGAGGATTAAACATTGAACAGAGGAACAGGTTTTTTAAGAAATAAACCTCAATCATTTGAGGAATGCACCATTAGCAACAATGACTTGCCCATTGATCCACTCACCACCATCAGTAGCTAAGAACCCAACAACGGAAGCAATGTCTCTGGTCTCACCAAGCCGACCAAAAGGGCTGCTTTCGATGATGTTCCTCACCGTCTCCTCGCTCTTCCCGTCGAAGAACATCTCAGTCGCGACAGGCCCTGGAGAAACACAGTTTGCAGTGATTCCCGAACCTTTGAGTTCCTTGGCAAGAATCTTCACCATTGACTCAACCGCTGTCTTTGATGCTGTGTAAGCTCCGTGTCCTGGGATTAACGCCTCTGTTAATGACGAAGTAAGGAGTATGATCCGACCACCGCCTCCTCGTTTTAGCCTCTTTGCAGCTTCTTTACAGCACAGGAATGATCCTCTTGTGTTCACTCTGAACAAAGAACAAAATTTGAAGAATCACAACCTATTGTGACGAAAGATGATGACAAAGTCTCTGTATTCTCTCAGTTGGTGATCGTTTTCCAAAGGCAATCTCTGTTTATTCAGTGATCAAACAGATATTGAAGACTTTGTTTAAAACTATATTATCCTAATGAAATCTAGCAAATTGCAGAACTGATTCACACAATCTGTGTTGATGAATCAGCATAAACAATGTGAGATAGAGACGCATTTCTCAGCAAGATCATTGATATTCAGACTCTTAATCACATTCCAGAAAAATGAACTACGCAGAGCTAAGAAAGACTTTTGTTACCAGAAAAAAATGGAGCTTTACCTGAAGATGCGATCGAAGTCTTCAATGGGAGTGTTGGCGATAGTAGGGTAGTTTGGATCGGCGATCCCAGCCGAGTTAACCAGGATGTGAACCGGCGATTTGAAGGCTTTCTCCGCGGCGTCGAAGAGAGACTCAACCTGGCTCGGCTCCGAGACGTCAGCGCGGAACACGATGGCTATCGGTTCAGAAGCACCAACAACGCCGGCGGACGAGTTGATTTCCGCGGCGACTTGATCGGCCTCAGTGGATCTGCTGGTGTAGTTGACGACAATCTTCGCGCCGAGCTCGGCGAGGTGTCTGGCTACGGCTCGGCCAATTCCACGAGATGAACCGGTGACTATCGCGACACGGCCGGCGAGGGAGAAGGGCGGAGAATAAACTGACGAAGAAGCTGCCGCCATGAGTACCAAATTGGTCAAACGAAAAATTGACTCAAAACGTTTTTGGTTGACTGTGTGACTGAAAACACGACACCGTTTCGTTGAGAATGTCAACAGAAAAACGCCATGTGATTTTCGTTAATGTTTGGAGCATTAAACATAATAAAGCATATAGGTGTTGCATAAACGAGCAAGAAGTCGATGGAAGGCTTTGTCTCAACTCTGATACAATGTGCATACAACGCAGAGTCAAGAGCCAGTGACACACATTATTCAGTAAACTCATTCTGTGATTTTGGTTTGAGAGTCAAGAGTCAGTGAAACATCTTCTTCTGCAACAGAGATAAAAATACGACGAAATCCCACGCCGATGACTTCCGCGTAGAACCTCAGGTTAGGAGAACAAAACCGGGTTCAAGTGAGGCTAACTTCCCGCAAAACCTTTGCTACATCCTCCGGGAAAACTGGGTTTATGTAACACCCTGTGCCAATCTCAAACCCACCTACCCCAGAAAGCTGAGGTACGATCTGTAAGAACCAGTGCGTATAAGGTAACTGTGATTCCGTCACCTTGAGGGGAGACGTATGGATCATGTAATTATAAGGAGGGTCGTTAAGTTGCTTCGCAATCTTCTGAAGCATGAGTTTCAGAAGGCCTCCAAGGTCAACAGCCTGTATAAACCATCAACACTAAGTGAGTAAGGTGCTGCTGATCCAGGAACTTGCTATTGTAATCTAACCAAAACAAAAACGGTAACTTAGTCGCATCAAAAGGTAACCTTGGCGTCATCGAGATGATGGAAATGGGAAGAGTGATCCTTGGGAACAATCCAAACCTCAAAGGGGAACGTAGCAGCGAAAGGAGCAACGGAAACAAAATGGCACGACTCATCGATCACAAAATGTTTAGATTGAGCTTCACAAAGACAACACTTCCCAGTCTCGTCGAAATAAGCTTTTGTACCATCAAGTCGTGAAGAAACTGTCGGAGGAACAACCGGGAGAGCCATTATCTGACTGTGAGAGTGACTCATTGATGCTCCCGCCGACGCACCTTGGTTCTTGAAGACCTTTTAGAATTACCAGAAGAAAAGAAACTTACATAAAGAGAGAGCCGATTCGGATGAATGTAACTATGTAAGCAATTCATAGATTCATACTTACAAGCACTGATGGCTAAACAATACACAGAGCTTAAATTTAGCTTTTTTTGGGTGTAATGAGTGCAATGTAAGCTTGACTATTGGGGTTACAATATGAGAATCTATGGGGAAGATGCTTACCTGAATGTAACTGATCGAATCGTGTTGCGCGATCTGCTCGATCCTCTTCTTATACGTGATCAAGACGTCGCTGATACCAAACGGATCGATATCGGAGAGCTGAACCGAGTGAGAAGGGGATTCGATCACCACGTCGTGGAATCCGAACCCGGCTATAGTCCGACTTGTACCCGTCTCGGGTTGCTTCGATTGGGTCTCGAGATTCCTGCTTAGAGCCGGGTACAGGTTCTCGATGACCCGGATTTTCCAATTCGGGTCATCCGGCACACGAAATATCTCCGGAGCGCACTCGTGCTCACGGCCGATGCAAAAGGGGCAAGACGAAGGTTTAGGATTATTGCTCTGGGGAGACTTGGATTTAAAATCAGTCGGTCTCTTGGCCCGAGCGGGAGAGAAAATGACCCACCGGTTAGTCACCGGATCCTTCCTGAGCTCAGGAGACCGAGTTTCGACCGAGTCGCCGCCGTGATCAGGTGCATGACTCGGTGACGTCATCCTTCTTCTCTCAGTGGCTACGGAAAAACTTGTGCGATTTCGCTTTGAAGAATACTACTACTAGATCGGAGTTATCGGTTTATTCAAACCGAACCGAACTTATAAATTCGGTTCAAAGGTCTTCCCGATGAAAGTTTGGTTGAGAAAATACGTGAAAGCGAAATGTTTAACAAAAAATACGGTGAATTTTGTTTTTTGTAGAAAAAGGTAAACAATCGTAGTTTTAATACACAAAAGAATATTCGAGAGTAAATTGTACAAATAAATTCCTCATAAAAGCTTAAAAAAATATCAGAAATTAATTATTAATAGTGCATTCTATTTATTTTCTCTTTTTGCATAAGAAGAAGAATTAAAGGAGGTCGTTAGGACATAGCCATTCACGTTAGGGATAGGCGCATATCGGATATCCGGGAATTTTTTTAGTATTTATGGTTTGCTACGTTTTTAACGGATATTTAATTTTATAATTTGATTTGCTCCAAAAATATTCGGATATCCAGATTTTCGGATATCCGAAAATTTTACAAGTATTTGCGGATATTTACGGATATTTATGAATATTTAGTTTGATCCGTTTAATATACACAAAACTGAAAGTACATCAATTTTTATTATAAAAAAATATATTTTTCATCTAAACTATTAAATGAAAATAACTAAAAAAAATATTTTATTTTATAAAAAAATCTATAAAAAATAAACCTACAAAATTAAGATGAGAAAAAATGATATTTTATATTTAAAAATAATATTAGCTATTTGAAACTTTAATATTAAACTTTACTAAAAAACTTTTGTTGATATTTATTTACTAATATAAAATAAAATGTTATTTATTAACATATTTTAAGTTTAAACATATTATTTATTTTTTATAATTGGTTATTTAGTTATTTATTTTATATAATCAAAAGAACAATTAAAAATTTAGGAAGAAAATTGAAAATATATTAATAAAAATTTATAATATAATTGATATATATATGATAATATATAATAAATTTATAAAGATACGGATCGGATCAGATATCCAGCGTTATCTAAAAATATATTTGTGATTTGCTCCGTTTTGTACAGATATTACGTTTTGCTATTTGCTTTGCTCCGAAGCTTTACGGATATCCGAATTTTTTGAATCGAATCGAAGCAAATATCGATTTGAAGCGGATATAACTGATATTTTGCCCATCCCTAATTCACGTGCGTTTTATTAGATTACAATACAAGACGCATTTCATACGTACGAACGTGTGAAATTATTATATTAATAAATTTTAAATTTAAATCTTACGAGCATACCAAAGTAAACAGCAATAATAAGACCATATTTTTAACATTAGAGACTGAGGGTAAACATGACTAGAAATTTCTTTTCTCTTTTTGTTCAATATATAAGGTTTTCAAAAAACAAGGAAAATGTAAATAAAATAAAAATCTTCACCAAATTATATGCTAGAATTTTTCTAAAGTTGATCAATCCTTCCAAGAAAAAAAAATTGGCAACAAAAAAAAAACCTTCCCCAAATCTGCACCTCCTCTCATCTTCATCTCCATCTCCATCTCCATCTTCGTCTTCATTATTAATAACTCTTATTCTGTCTACAGCTTTCTCTCTCTAACTCGTCTCTTTGTGTGCTTCACAGCTAGAAAGTTCTAACATTTAAATCGCCGTACTTTGAGGAACTATCGGTTTCTCATTCTAAAATTTTCTAAGGAGATCTGAAAGTTTTAGTTTTTTCGGATCGATTCCATCCTCACCATAGTCCGATCATCGTTCCTTTGTGAAGGTTTATCCCGAATCGTTCATCCGGTAGAATGTTTTTGACATCTCGTTTTGATTCGCTGGTGGTTGTTGTGTTTGGATGTTTTTTTACTTATGTTTTTCTGGAAGATCTTGTTTTTGGATGATGATCGAACATGTTTTTGTATCAAACGATTTGGTTATTTTGAAATCTATATGTTGCTTTTTATTCTTCTTTTGATGTGTTGGCTATCATCGCCTCTCTTTGATAACGTTTCTTCGACAATAACGATGAAGTTGATACTCTTGAGCCAAAGCTGATGACTTTATGGTTTGAACTTGGTTACATATCTTCTGAATTTGATTGCTTATCTGTTTAATTGGAAATTGTTACTGTTTAAGGATGACAATGATGATGGAAAATAGAATGCTCGAAGTGCAAACCACTGTTTCTTGTATGTTAGTAGATTTCTTGTGTGGAGTGGTGTCCTCTCTTGTGGATTTTGAAAGAATACTAATGAAAATGTTATGTTCACTTTTCATTTTCAATCAACCAAATCGCTAACCTCTGTGACCGCTCTTTATACCGCAGGTTAGGTAAAGAGGTTCACTGCAAAACAAGATTTTCTTACTCTTGTGTATGGAGTAAGAATGCCGGAGTTAAGAAGTGGAGCACGTAGATTGAGACAACCAAGCCCTCAGGTGATTGATCAGGCGGAAAATATCGAGCTTCCTCCTCCGGCTGCAACAAGGAGAAGAGGTGGTGGTGGTGGGAGAGGAAGGGGAACCGCCGCAGCTTTAGCCAAAGCCGCTGCACCTCCAAGACCAGCCGGTGCTGCCGGGAGGGGTCGAGGCATCAGGTTAATAGATTTAGAGGCAGAACCTTGTGAGGTTCGTCCAGCAGTAGGTGAAGCTGCTTTTAATCAAGTCGAAGGAGTAGCTGATAAGGATATCGCTATGGAAGGTGGTAGCGCAGATAAGATAGTTGGTGTGGAAGAAGATTCCAGCTCAGCTCCAGTCCCTGAAAGGGTAAGCTTCATGCTAATCTTCTGACAATCAGTCACCTGTTTTTTCGTATGAGAAAGAATGTTGATTTTGGTTTTTGTCTTTGTGTATAGGTACAAGTTGGAAATTCTCCTGTGTATAAGACTGAGAGGAAACTCGGTAAAGGAGGCTTTGGTCAGGTTTTTGTCGGTAGAAGGGTGAGTGGTGGCAGCGATAGGATTGGAGCAGATGCAATTGAGGTATGTTGTAAAGAAGCATACTAGAGATTTACAATGGTTACATAGACAAAAGAAGTCGAATCATTTTAAAAAAAAAATTGTGTTCTTTTTTCAGGTGGCTTTGAAATTTGAGCACCGGAATAGCAAAGGATGTAATTTTGGCCCACCTTACGAGTGGCAAGTGTACAAGTAAGACTTGCCTGCATTCTCTCTTAATATTCATGCCAAGTTTCTATTATCAGCTTATTTTTCATCTCATCTGTTTCTTTTTTTTTCGTTTTGTTGTAAAGTACGCTCAACGGTTGCTATGGAGTCCCTGCGGTACATCATAAGGGTCGTCAAGGAGATTTTTACATCCTTGTAAGTATTATAGTGTGAACTTTATTATATATATTTCGAGATTGACCATGTTATCATGTATTGAGCAACGTTTTAATAAACATTTCAGGTCATGGACATGCTTGGTCCGAGCCTATGGGATGTTTGGAATTCTTCGGGGCAATCGTAAGCACTCTTCCCATTTCACCAGACTTTCTTCTCTTTGCAAGATTCTTCGTATAATCCATGTTCATGATATGTGGCAGGATGTCTCCAAACATGGTAGCATGCATTGCAGTTGAGTCCATATCTATTCTTGAGAAACTTCATATGAAAGGGTTAGTGAAACTATCTTCTTACTAACTTCTTGGCTAATAGCTCCATCCATTCGTTTCGAAGACGGAAGACCTGATTTTCATGCCATGTTCCATCTCTATATCAATTCAGGTTTGTCCACGGAGATGTGAAGCCCGAAAACTTTTTACTCGGTCAGCCTGGAACAGCAGATGAGAAAAAACTCTACCTTATCGATCTTGGTCTTGGTGAGTTATTTATGTCATATAGTTTTATGAATGATCATTATGTACTAGTTCCTTTTCTTCTGTCGCTACGATGTCTTGTGGAATATTTAAAATGGTTCTCTTAATTGATGTTTGCATCAGTGTTCACATAACCTTCTTTTGTTTCAGCATCAAAATGGAAAGATTCGCACTCAGGCCAGCATGTTGAATATGATCAAAGACCTGATGTGTTCAGGTATTGTCATTAGTATACATACATACATTTTACTTTATACATAAAGATATTATATTTTCTTACATGTTTATAAATGTTTCGCATGCAGGGGAACAATAAGGTATGCAAGCGTTCATGCACATCTAGGTCGTACTGGAAGTCGAAGAGATGATCTGGAGTCCTTGGCTTATACTTTAATTTTTCTCTTGAAGGGAAGATTGCCATGGCAAGGTTACCAGGTCTGTTTTTATTTCTTCTCATAACCTTACAGTTATATCAGATTCATCATCTTCATTCTAGTCAATTACGCATATGTATTGTTTGCTGTCTTTTCAGGGTGATAACAAGAGCTTTCTTGTTTGCAAGAAAAAGATGTCAACTTCTCCTGAATTGATGTGCTGTTTTTGTCCACCACCGTTTAAGCTATTCCTCGAGGCAGTTACTAATATGAAGTTTGACGAGGAGCCAAGCTATGCGAAGCTTATTTCGATCTTCGATACTCTAATTGAGCCTTGCGCTCTTTCTAGACCAATCAGAATCGATGGAGCTCTTAAGGTTGCTGGCTGTTTTCTCTTCCATATGCTTATTTTTCATGAATTGTTATAAACATTTCTGAAAGTGCTTCTTTTGGGATATATATATAGGTTGGGCAAAAACGAGGAAGATTGCTTCTTAACTTGGAAGAGGATGAACAGCCGAAGAAGAAAATTAGAATAGGCAGTCCTGCTACTCAATGGATCTCAGTCTATAACGCCCGTCGTCCCATGAAACAAAGGTAAATCTTTTTGCATACACACTTTAAAGTGTCGGAAACCTTCATTACTCAAATTTCCTCACTAACTGTTCAATTTTTAATTTTCTTTGGTAGATATCACTACAATGTTGCAGACTTAAGGCTGCACCAGCATGTACAGAAGGGTAATGAAGATGGCCTTTTGATTAGCTGTGTAGCATCAGCAGCTAATCTCTGGGCCCTCATCATGGATGCTGGAACTGGATTTACCTCTCAAGTTTATGAATTGTCAACGGTCTTCCTGCACAAGGTAATAATAATAATCACTTGAAGCAATTAGGAATCGATTTGTTTTGCAGTAAGTTAGTAACTCACCATTGCTTTTTCTACGCAGGACTGGATTATGGAGCAATGGGAAAAGAATTACTATATAAGTTCCATAGCAGGTGCAGATAACGGGAGCTCGTTAGTTGTTATGTCAAAAGGTTGGTGTTAATGGTTAAGAGCAATCTTCGATTTTTTATTTTACACTTGACTTCTGTAACAAATGTCATACTTTCATTATAACCATGTAAAAACATGAAGTCTTGTTTACGTATCTCTACTTGTTGTGAATTGGTAGGAACTTCTTATACTCAGCAATCTTACAAAGTGAGCGACTCGTTTCCATTCAAGTGGATAAATAAGAAATGGAAAGAGGATTTTCATGTAACCTCCATGACAACTGCTGGGAATCGTTGGGGTGTGGTAATGTCGAGAAACTCTGGCTTCTCTGATCAGGTTTGGTTTCCATCTCTTTGCCTGACATTTGTTTTTTACTGGTTTGTCTTGGTGATTGCTTTTCCGCTAATAATCTTTGTTCGGAAATGGTAAATTGCATTAAAAGGTGGTGGAGCTTGACTTTTTGTACCCGAGCGATGGAATACATAGGAGGTGGGAGAATGGGTATAGAATAACATCAATGGCAGCAACTGCAGATCAAGCAGCTTTCATATTAAGCATACCAAAACGTAAAATCATGGATGAAACTCAAGAGACTCTTCGTACCACCGCCTTTCCAAGCACACACGTCAAGGTGGGTTTCTTTAGTTTTGAACAAAGGTTGGATCTTTTTTTATTTTGTTCTGTTTCCATATACTGAAAATAGGTACCTGTGTGGTGTTGGTTGATTTTTCAGGACAAATGGGCGAAAAATCTGTACATTGCATCAATATGCTTCGGGAGGACAGTGTGCTGATACATCACATAGTATCATCATATGTTGTGTTAGAAAGCCAGAGAGGATTGGAGCTCAAGGGTCATGATCAACCATCGAGAAGGTGAAACCAGACGCAACCTGTTTGTTGAATGTAATGAAAATGGATGTGTCTTGGTCTGTATGTAGAAGTACAAAAAGATAGTAATAGAAAGATTTGAGGGCTTTTTCAAGCCTCCAAGTGTGTGCTTTATTTATCATTATCTGTTTGAATCCCAGTGTGATCATGAATCTTCTGAGTGAAAACAAAATCGATTCCTCGTTTTTCAAACAAGACATAGTCCAAGCAAGTTAATGATATAATAATTTGATCTTATGCATTTGAAACCAAATTATCTATAAATATGTCAACAAAGTAAAGCGTAGGTAACATAAAAGTCATATCCCCCTCCTAATAGTTTGGTTATGAATATAATAAAATAACAAATGAAAATAAATGAATCCGGGGAAAGCCCTAGTTAAAGCCTTTTTATTACTCTGTTTTTGTCAATAAAAAAGGGAGTCAATACTTTTGTACCCTCCAAAACCTCGCCTCACTAAAACCCTAAAACCTCCAGAGGAACAGAGCGCAGTAAGATGAGACCACCACGTGGCGGCGGAGGCTTCAGAGGAAGGGGAGGAAGAGATAACGGCGGACGCGGAGGAGGTGGCCGTTCTTTTGGTGGCGGCGGTCGTGGAGGTGGCCGCTTTGGTGGTCGTGACGAAGGACCTCCCAGCGAAGTCGTTGGTTCGTTTTCAAATCCCATACTCTGTTTTTTTTTTCTTTTACCGATCAAGCAGAGTATTATATTGAATAAAGTTGTCAATTTTTGACATTGATGAGCGCGTTTGTTGCATAAATTTGACCAAAAATATGTGGGTATTTCCAGTTGATGAATTGTTTCATGTTATTAGTTTTGACGGATCCTTTTGTTAGATTCATATTTGAGCTGATGTTTTCGTGACAGTAATTTAAGTGAAAGAAACAAACTTTGTGAAACATTATTAATGACCAAGGTTTCTTTCTTGATTATAACAGAAGTTGCGACCTTTCTCCGTGCTTGTGAGGGTGAAGCTGTGACCAAGCTCACGCATGAGAAAATCCCCCATTTTAATGCCGCTATCTACCTGCAAAACAAGACGCAGATTGGGAGAGTAGATGAGATCTTTGGTCCGATTAATGAATCTGTATGTGTTTAATCTCTCTCTCTCTCTCTCTCTGTGGCCTTCTTCTCTCACTTGTCTCCTCACTAATACTGTAAGCATTGATTCTTTCGCAGCTGTTTTCTATCAAAATGATGGACGGTATCGTAGCTACCTCGTATAATGAAGGCGATAAGTTCTACATCGACCCTTACAAGCTTTTACCTCTGGCAAGATTCCTTCCTCAACCAAAGTAAGCTCACACGATATAGCGTCCTTCTGATATTATTTACCTCTGTTGAGTCATCAATTCTTGTTCAAGTGTTAGTACAAGTCTGTAACAAGAGTTCTTCTTGCAGGGGACAATCCGCGGGAGGCCGTGGTCGTGGGGAAGGAAGAGGCAGAGGCCCTCCGGGTCGTGGCAGAGGAGGCCCTCCCGGTCGTGGCAGAGGAGGCCCTCCGGGTCGTGGCAGAGGTCCTCCGAGGGGTCGTGGAGGATTTTCCAGAGGCCGAGGGAGAGGATACTAATCTATGACATTACTCATTAGCTTGTAATTCCTTTTTTTGATCTTAGATCATGAGATTGCTTTTAAGAACCGTGATGATGATACTCGTTTTCCAGATTTCTAGTTTTTTATGTACTTTGGTTTATCAAGTGAGTAAAAAGTTATTAGAGCCCATGGTTTTATTACATACATACACATAAGCATCATCATCATCATCAACTGGTTAATAAAACACAGATAAGTTAACTCGGGAGGCTCTCTAGACCAAAAGTAGAAGTCTAGAAGAGACACAAAAAAGAAGAAGAGAGGATTACAGGTTGTCTTGTCTCGTTTTATTAAAGAGCTTCATAGAGAGAGAATATAGAATCTCAAGCTCCCCAGCCTCTGAGAACGGTGGCCCGAGCCACACGATTAACACCGAGTGTGAAAGCTCCCATCCGGAGGTCGCAGGAGTGGGTTTTGCACATCTCTTTCAAGTCCTTGAATCCTCGAGTCATGTATGTCTTTAGCTCATCGTTCACCTTCTCTTCTTCCCACATAAACCCTTGTATGTTCTGCACATCACCAGCAACAAACTCATCTGATCAAATCTGTTTGGTTTGGCCAAGAATTGTAAGAGACTCATACCTGAACCCATTCAAAGTAACTGACAGTGACTCCTCCGGAGTTTGCATATATGTCTGGGAGTATTACCACACCTTTCTTACTCAAGATCTGTAATCACAAGAGTCTCCTCAATTAGTTTTTTTGCAATGACAACTTCTGTGAAGTAACAAAATAATGAGAATGGAAACCTCATCAGCATCGGGATCAGTTGGATGATTAGCAGCTTCAATGATGAACTTTGCTTTAATCTCATTCGCATTCTCCCTTTAACCAAAACCCCCAGTTAATAAAATACTTATAGAGAAACTTTTCAAACAAAATTGTAAGTTTGTGTAGCTAAAAAGAAAAAGCTTGAACCTGTTGATGACACCGCCAAGTGCTGCAGGGATCAAGATATCGCAATCCTCGACCAGTATCGAATTAGGATCGATCGGATCAGCACCATCAAACCCTTTAACACCTCTGTGTTCTTTTGTATAGTTGAGCAAGCTCGGGATATCGATCCCGTCCTTGTTCTTGATTGCTCCGGTTATGTCACTCACCGCAACAATCTTCCCACCTTGTTCACTTATCAGCTTCGCCGCCCAAGAACCCACATTCCCGAATCCCTAAAAGAAACCAATATGTTACGAAACCTATCTTTAGCTCGCAAGAAACCGGAATAAAGAAAATGTTTTAAACGAACTTTCACCTGAATGACAAAACGTTGCCCCGATATGCTCTTGCCGTGCTCGTTAAGCAAAGCTTCGGTTCCAAACATCACCCCTCTTCCAGTAGCTGCGTCTCTCCCTAGCGATCCACCAAGATCCTGCTCACAAACATCATCACAATTTAGTTAAATATCAGTAAATTAGCAAACACAAAACCGTTGATTACTGCTACTTACAATGGGTTTTCCAGTCACAACTGCAGGCGAGTATCCGTGGAACTTAGAGTACTCATCAAGAATCCAAGCCATTGTCTGCGAATTCACACCGAAAAAGAAAGGTTAAAAATGACTCAAAAGACACAAAAAAACGTTATGGGGAAACGTTTAAAAGAGAGTTTAAGAAGAACCTGAGGACCAGTGCCCATGTCTGGAGCAGGAACATCGGTGTGAATCCCAATGAGATCATGAATCTTCTGAGTGAAAACACGAGTCAATCGTTCGAGCTCGGAGATGCTGAGCTTGCTCGGGTCACAACCGATCCCTCCTTTGGCTCCTCCGTACGGAATCTTAGCCACTGCTGTTTTCCATGTCATGAGCTGAGCCAATGCGTTCACTTCATCCGGTTCAACCTGTAGGACGATAACCGATAACCGGTTTTCATCATACCGAACCGAAATTGTGTACTGGTTTTGAAGGGGAAAAAAAATCCAAAAGTCAAAAGTCAAAACCTCGGGATGATATCTGATTCCGCCTTTCATGGGACCTCTTGCATTGTCGTGTTGGACTCTGAACCCCACAAATGATGCTAGTGTCCCATCGTCTTTCGGTATGGTACATTCCACCTAGAAAATTTTGATAACCGGTTTGTTTTCAGTGGTTCGTTTCGGTTATATGATACATTCATTGTATGAGACCCGTAAAAAGCGGGTCGGGTTTCGAAATGCCCCGAAACAACAGAAGTGAATTTCGGGAAATCATTCTTTCTCTTTTAAAACCCGACTCCTCCGCGTAAATCCGCCGCGAAAAATCATCTCCGGCGCCGCCGAGGCACTAGATTCTTAAATTTTCCCCCAAAAAATTCGAATTTCCGAGATTGGACAAAAAAAAGGAGGGATTAAAGTAGAAAAAAGGAATGAAATCGAACCTTGATTTCTCTGAAGGGGATGAGAAGACTTTTCTCGAGCTTAGAATCCAAACCCAGAAGCCTAGAAGCTAGCTTGAAGTTTCTGTTTGTTGCTGCTAAAGCATTCATGGCTTCTTCTTCCTCTCTCTCTCTCTTTTTTTCTTTTCTGGGCTTTGATCAGAACGCTGAATTAAAACGATGGGTGTGTCAGTGTCAGTGTTATTGTAAGTGTATATCTACTTACTATATAAGAGGGGTGTGTGTACAGTGCACGTGATCGATGCTTAGGTAAGATTCAGTGGAGGTGGAGCTGATTAATGGAAATTAAGATTCAGTGGAGGTGGAAGCTGATTAAGAAAATTACAAAAGCTAAATACACAAAATTAATTCATGAAAAAATATTACTAGTTATTTTGATAAATTAAGACAAACATGCTTTAAGATAACTCAAGAGTCAGTGTCCTTTTTATAGCAACTAACTTAGCCTCTTGGAACTACATATGCGTTATGAGTTTGGATTTTCAGAATTTAAAACGTACCGAGTGTAATAACAGAAGAGTGTTTTACTTGTAACTTGCCTACAATTTGCGAGTAAAAAGAGATACCATTAATTTTTTTTTAGCTGTTGGATATGCAAACATATAATAATATTTTGGAATATTTGTAGAAGCAATTCCAATAACATACTGTAAATAAATAACTTCAAAAAAATCAAATACTGTGTTATGTATTTGTCAGAACATAATCTAGCCAGCCGAATAAGAACATTCTATGCGCAATACATGTAATTATATATATGCCATCTGAGGCTAAATATTCCAAAAGGGAAAATAAGTGGAGAATGTGACATATGTGTATAACATAATCTTTTGATTACGAGAGAATATGGTTGCGTCGTCATGTTCGCATCAAATCACAATTTCTTTGATTTTTCTAAAAATTTGGTGTATGTTGACTTGTAGACAATCTTATCCACTCTAGTGTATTTGTTTTTATCATCTAAATTAAAACGAGTCCAAAACACTTGTACGGGTTCAACTTTTAAAAACTTCGGTTAAAGTTCGTAACAATATTTTAATTCGGAATAGGTCAAATTCATTTCCCTACCATTGTCACGGTAGCTAGCCAGTTGCCATTTGATTAAGACTAATATCCAATTCTGCGTCTTGGATACAACGAGTGCTTTTATTTCATCTCTTGGATGCTAATGAAGATTATTAGCTAGATATCAAACCTTGTCTTTGTGTGATATGAAAATTGCATTTTATTTTATGTTTTGTCAGTGTTGGAGTTGGATTCGTGGTGAAGTCACTGTAGGAGACAAAGTTGTTGAAAGAAACAAATGCATGTTCTTTGACTAGGCGATGCAGCCTAATTATAGCTTAGGCTTCGCCTTTTATACACGTATCGTAGAATCTCTAGTTTGCTTATAAATGTTCTCCATGATCATCAACTAAAAACTAATTAATGCCATTGTTTCTAACTTTTAAGAGGTTTAGTCGCTGCCATATAGACATGCAATAGTCTACAGAATCCACATTATTAAGAAGAAAAATGCTAGAAAAACATAACAGAGGAATCTTAGGTGCAGTTTTAATTTTAAACACATGATGCAGTCTCTGTCTTTACAGGTTTCTCCAGTGAAGTGCAATCTTAAACGCATGAACTTAAAAGTCTCTGTCTTTTATAGGTTTTTCTGTTATTCTTAGTTTGTTTGTAAATTAATTACATATATTTTGAGTCTCTAGCTAGCATAAATAATGCAGTAGTCTGCAGCATATTTAAGCATGTTGGGGTTACGAAATGATCAAATCATGAGATTTTTAATTGTGTGATACGAAAATTGGTTTGTAATTGTGTTTGTCACTTGTTAGTGTTGGTGTTGGATTCGTGCTTTGACTATGCGATGCAGCCTAATAATGTTAATAGCTTAGGCTGATCTTCACTTAGGTGCAACCTTAAAACAAGTACATAACGTCTCTGTCTTTACAGGTGTTTCTATTGTTCTTTATTTGTTTGTAAATTACATATATTTTGAGTCTCTAGCTAGCATAGACAATGCAGTAGTCTGCAAATATATAAGCATGTTAGGGTTAATAAATTATCAAATCACGAAAAAAGAAAAAAACCTCAGTATGTGGGATTACAAGAAAAATGATGAAAGCTCTTACAACGGCACGAGACTCTCAATGTGATTTGATTAAAAAACAACTCACTCATATTAACCAACCCATTGTACTACCACTTACAGACAACATTGGTATTGCCTCTAGACTTGATTGCTTTTATACTGTCTTCCTTTGCATCATAATAGACAACATATGCCCATTCATTAGAACTCAATGGTCTACGAATATAAATAAAATCACCAGCATCGGTAATACCCTCAAAACTAAAATTTGAATTTTGAAAATATTTGACAGGACGAATGTGAGTATATGACCATTTGTGATTCTCTGCATCCTCCAAAATCCATAATCCAATACATGGGTTATCGGAACTTACCAAAGCCAATCTTCCCATATAAGATACCAACAAAAGGTTGTTCAAATCGAACTTACCAAAGCTAGGATAGTGAATCAAGTTGAACTTTTCAGATCTGACATCAAAGCTCATTATGGCTTGCTTCAGAAGCAAACCATAGAAAGCTTTATAGTACACCACTCCATTAATGCATCGGCCACAAGCTGTGGCAGGCATGTGCTTAGGGAAACCACTGGATATTATTCTCCACGATTCTGGAGCTTCTCCCAATGTAAGAATGCCAATCTTTTCGCCTGCAAGAATGCATAGTGCTTTAAATTTACCATGGATCGGGTCATATCCCAAGAACCCTCTTACGTATTTGCCTTGAGGCACACGTATAGCTAAGAAACATTCCATGGCTGGGCTCCAAATCTCGAGCTGTGTAGAAGCTTCAAAGCAAATCAAGCCATGGACGGAATCATAACGGCGGATGAAACCATTATTAGGGTTTGTAAGTTTTCGACTCCTCACGTAAGAAATAGGGTCGTCGCGGTTCTGGTGGTGTGACGGAGACGAGAAAACGGAGAACGTGTCGTCTTTTTCTAAGATCAGCAGTACCGACGAACATCGGCTCGCGAAGGAGTTGATGAATGCTGGAGTGGTGGTGATGGAAGACCAGAGCTTAGAGACGGAGCGATATCTCACAATCGATTTCGCAGGGAGTCTCGAGAGTATCTCAAAGATTAAATCGGGAGGAATATGGTTTGATTCGGATCTACCAATATTACGTGAGAATGTTGTCGATAATGACTGTTTGCTTCTCTTGATATCTTCTTGTTTATCCATGGCCGATTGTTCCACGTACAAGTACAACACGCTATCTTCAAACCCTAATTTGTTCTTCCAACTGATAGTACCACCGTGTTTTATATACTTCAGAAATGTGAGTTGCCGGGTTAACCAGTCAAACTCAACTCGGCCCATTTGTGTGACCCAATATATAAGGAGGCTTTGGGTATACTCGCAAATTATCTCCAAAACACAACAAAGGAATCTTTGGTGCAATTTAAAACATATGTTACAGTCTCTGTCTTTACAGGTTTCTTTTACTATCCTTACCTTTTTTATACATTACTATTCTGACTCTCTAGCATAATGCAGCAGTCTATATAGCATTCACATCAAAACATGTTGAGATTAACGAATTATCAAATCATGTCTAAAAAAAACTACCAATGAGATTCAATCAATCAGTCTCTACCAGAAATATCTTCAAGAATATTGAATAAATGAAGTGTCACTAAGAACATTACATGTGCTAACAAAATATTCCCAAGGAATATAATAAGTGGAGAATGTGACATATGTAAACATGATCTTCTGATTTGGTGAGACTATATGGTCATGTTCACGTCAAATCAGAAATATTCAAAAACTGGTGTATGTTGACTTGTAAACAATCTTATGATTCTTATCCATGCTATTTCTTTTGTTATCCAAAACACATGTACGGATTCAAATATTTTACCGATAATATTATTCGGAATATATATATATATATATATATATATAAACACAGTGTTTGATTTGTAGTGAAGTAACCGTAGGGGGCAAAGTTGTTGAAAGAGAAGAAAAACAAAAGACAGAGGCATGCATGTGCTTTGATTAGGCGATGCAGCCTAAAAATGTTGTTGATAGCTCAGGCTTCTTTACTTAGGCGCAATCTTAAACACATGTACATAAAGCCTCTGTCTTTCTATACAAGTTTCATTCTCTTTAATTCTTAGTTTGCTTGTAAATTACATATATTTAGAGTCTCTAGCTAGCATATATAATATGCAGTAGTCTGCAGCATACATAAGCATGTTGGGGTTAAGAAACTATCAAATCGCGAGAAAATAAATATATAAACCCAATGTGATCTATATAATCAGTGATTGCCACGTAACGAAAATTGCATAAACAAAGTGTTATTACGAGAAAAATGATGAAAGCTCTTAATTACAAGGACAGTAGAGATCTCAATCTGATTTGATAAAATACAACTCGAGTTCATTCCTATTGCCACATCTAGTTCCAGTCTTGATTTCTCTTACACTGTTTTTCTTTAGATCAACATATAACCATTTTTCAGAATTCCAGATATCGACATAACTAAATTCACCAGCATCGGTAACAACCTGAAAACGAATATATTGACCTTGCAAATCTTTGTAAGGAGGAAAGTGAGTATATGACCATTCGTGATTCTCTGCATCCTCCAAAACCCATAATTCAGCAGGCCTCGTGGTATCTACCAAAGCTAATCTTCCCTCATAAGATACCAACAAACAGCAATACGCAAAGCTATACTTCCTAGGAAAGTTGATCAACTTTAACCTTTCAGATCTGACATCAAAGCTCACTATGGCATGCTTCAGATGCGATTCAAGAAAAGCTTTATAGTACACCACTCCATTGATGCATCGGCCACAAGTTGCGTTAGGTCTATGCTGAGGGAGACCGTCGGGTTTGATTCTCCATGATTCTTGAGCTCCTCCCAATGTAAGGATGCCAACCTTTTTTCCTTCGAGAATGCACAGTGCTTTGTATTTACGATGGATCGGGTCATATCCCAAAAACCCTCTTTTATATTTGCCTTTAGGTACACGTAAAGTTAAGAAGCGTTCCATGGTTGGGCTCCAAATCTCGAGCTGTGTAGAAGCTTCCAAGCAAATCAAGCCGTTGACGGAGTTGCAAGGTCGGAGGGAACCATGGTTCGGGTTTGTAAAACTTATACTCTTCACGTAAGAAATAGGATCGTCGCTGTTCTGGTGGTGAAGCGGAGACGAGAAAACGAAGAGCGTGTCCTTTTTTCGGAAGATTAGCATTACAGACGGACACGGACGACTCACGAAGGAGTTGATGAATTCTGAAGTTGTGGTGATGGACGACCAGAGCTTGCAGACGGAGCGACATCTCACAATCGATTTCGTAGAGAGTCTCGAGAGTATCTCAAAGATTAAATCGGGAGGAATAGAGTCTGATTCGGATCTACCATTATTATAACGTGAGAGTTTTTTCGATGAAGATTGTTCGCTTCTCTTGATGTTTTCTTGTTCATCCATGGCCGATTGCTCCACGTACACGCTATCTTCAAGCCCTAATTTGTTCTTCCAAGTTCCAACTGATATAATAATATACCACCGTGTTTTGTATGTTTAATTTCTATATATTCGAATATAAATGTGAGTTGCCGGGTTAACCAGTCAAACTCAACTCGGCCCATTAGTGACCCATATTTAAGGAGGCTTTGGGCTCATTATTTAAAGTGTAATTAGTTTTTGCGGAAACTTTTTTTTATCTCCCGAAAAAACTCGACGATTTCGTTAACATAGCAAAAACACAAACATAACATCAGATTGAGATTGAGGACTGGTTTTGACGTGATACACCATCATACGAAATACGAATATTGATACGTGTATATATATATAGTTCGCAACAAAATGATCCTTCATGAAAATAATAAAAGATTACTAGTCCAACTTCTAAAAAAGTTATCTAGTATATGCATTTATGACATGATCAGAACATTCGATATGGTCGATAACTAATCATTTTACAGATAATGTTGACAATTTTTTAGCACTTTCCTCAAATTGTACCAAAACAATGACTTTTTTTGAAGATATATTCCAAATTCCATAATTGCGTCGCGTTGACAAAAACTTTAACATATACAAATAATACAACTATACAAGTGGTTGTTGAGGTCATCTGCTTCTAGACTTCCCCACTTTTTCTATCTATTTATTTATATATGTATACTTATTTTGGGTTTCTTTCTTTTACCCATGAAAATAGTTACCATTTTCACATAGACCCCCTACATTTGCACAGTTAACTCAACACAACCTCAATGTTCAGTTTACTCCTATCGCATTTTTATTTTACTTAACTCAATCTGTCGAGGTTTAGATCAAAAATATACCACAAAAGTATAAACATAAAAACAACACAAAAGGTTTTTTTTTTCCTTTCTCATAATCACCTTCTAAGAATATTTAAAATCAGGATTTAATTGAAACGTTAAAAGATATTGGGGCTGTTTTATAAATTGTATGAATATAATGGGTTTTTATGTTATTAACGTATTTTATCAACATACCATTTCCTATCGTCCCATTGCTGAAGAATCCAGAAACGCGTTTCCTTTTTTCGCAGTAAGAGGGAGACATGTAATCTGATCTCTCCCCTTAAATTTCCTCTTTTCATTTTGTTTCTCTTTCTCCCACAATTTGTTTCCCAGAATTTCACAAACCCTAGAATTTCCATTCTTTCGTCAAACACATTGAGATCAAATCCAATTTCTTCTTCTTCTTCTAGCTTCACGCTATTTCCATATGTGTCCGTTGAGGTTCCTATTGGTGTTCTTCTCGGCTGTTCTCGCCGGATATTTCGCGTGGAAGACGGCCAGTTCTTCGCCGGAGCTCGATTCAGACGACTCACCGCTCGAATTGAACGATAAACAAGGACTCAGTTTCAAAAAGGTAAGAAGAAATCTCCTTGGGTTTGGGCGAGTTGAATTCTGGTTTTTTTCAATATTTGGGATTTCTAATTTCTTTCTTATTCACCGGCGGAATATAACAGAAGATGGAGAATGGGTTCTGGGTGTTCGTCGATATGGCCAGCGGAAGATACCTTTGGAGGAATCTCAAGGAGATGAGGGAGAAAAGTCAATGAAAGCGGATTTAATCCAACGAGTTCGTGTCTTTCTTTTGTGCAGAATGTTAAGAACGATGATACTAATACTTTAGACGAGTTAATAACCCTCTCTATTTGTTCTCTAATTCTTCCCCTGAGTTTTGTAATTTTTTGATCAATTGATACTTTCTGTTTGTAATCTGGAAACAAAAAGAAAGAAATAAAGAAACGAGTTTGTAACTTTCAAGCAACTTCTTCTCTTTTACTAATCAATTTTCTCAGACACTCAAATTCAAAAAATACAAATCAGCACAAGACCTCACCATAAGAGAAATTGCAATTAGAGAAGTATACTAACAACTTGGAAGAGCATGTGCATCTAATTATTTACAACCTAAGCTTTTGAGAAAAGATTCACCTTGATTCGACTTGAAGCTTGATCGACATGTAGAGGAGGGTGAGAAGAGCTCCTTGTGGAAGAGGAGCATGGCGAGCTAAATTGGAGCCGACCCACATGGCGACTACCACAAGAACCACCACGCTGCTGCTTGCTTTCCCACAGAGCCAGCTTGCAAAGGTTAGGCAGAGAGTGAGCAAGATGCCGCCTCTCCCGCCAAGTATCCAAGCAACCATGAACCCGGCTTTGTAACCCTTGTCGAGTTCCTTGTCGAGCAAAGCCGTGAAGGTGCTAAACGTGAGAGACGCAAGGCACCCGAGTGTGTACAGAAGAAACACCGATAAGAAGAAGGATGTGAGGACTTTGACAATGGAGTCTCTCTGTTCTTGCATCGTTCCTTCTTCTTGCTCTTGTGGCTCACCGTCGGCGTCACTGTAGAAATGTGAGTTTGGATATGTAGAGTAGTAGTGTCCGTAGAATCTCTCGTGTCTGGATCCGCGTCTTCTTTTCTCAGACCAGCTGTGGTAATACTTCATGGCATCTTCAACCTCAGGGTCAGGGGTGTTGTTGTAGTGCCTTTTCGCTCTAGAGAAGCTGGGGTTTTCTTGATGTTTAAGCGCTCGGTCGTACTGAGTCCTTGTAGCTTCGTTAGATAGTACCTTTTTGGGAATATACAAGTAAAAGTAAACAAGATTGTTTGTTGAGTCATGGAAGGTAAAGAAAAGGCACCCACTTCGTAGGAAGAACGAATGCTCTTGAATAGCTCTCCGGCTTTAGAGTCCTTATTCACATCAGGATGAAACTGCCAATAGCAACACAAGAATACTGTCACAAACAGGAACATAGCATATCTGAACTGGAAAAAAAAAGTAAAAAGGTGAGAAATTTAAGCTCTTTTAGCCAGGATGAATCAAAATGACAACTTGCTATGATGATAAACAAAGGTAGCTAGATAATTCTCATGAAAATCAAGATTTTGAAAATTTGTATTTCCCCCAAAAATTCCTTATTACTACTAAATTTAAAGTTTTTCCTGCATACAACTACCTATATCATGTTCACTCATTTTTACCAGAGAAATCAAGCAAAGCAACGATGCCAAACCAGAACAATCAAGTGAGATTCGCCGTTACTTTCTGGGAAGTGACAAAATGAAAAGAGCCCCCAAAACAACATCATTACCTTTCGAGCGAGCAGGCGATAAGCTCTCTTGATATCAACTTGTGTGGCGTTGCGAGCGACGCCCAAAACAACGTAGTGGTTCTTCCCGCCGGTATTGGAAGCTGGGTACGACGAAGACGAAGACGAAGACGAAGACGAAGACGAAGCCGTCGCTTTCCAGCGATTGCGGTGACACCGAGATCTGCCGTCGCGGTGCCTTCGACGGTGGTGGTGGTGGTGGTTTAGGGCTCGGCTAACCGGGTTGAACGACCGAAGGAGGATATCGCCGGAGATGGCGGATGAGAATCGACGGCAGCACTTGAATGGGGTGGGACCCACCAGAAGGTGAGTCTGCATTGTCTTCTCACTCTCAGTCACACAGGCTCTCTCTCTCTCTCTACGGACCACTAACTGACGTTAAGTAGTGTGTGGATCAGAAGCGGGCTTTGACGGAGGGCCGTTACAATAATTGTTGGCGGGTCAGATAATCGTTATCTCACTAGTCTTTAAGTATTGGGCCTTTTTTCCTTTAGGTATTATTGGGCTTACTCTGTTTGTGAATGGAAGTAACTATTTGGGTAAGAATTTTATATGGGCCAACTCAATAAGTGGAAGTATATATATCATCATTCTCATTCATATAACTCGATGTGCATTCGGACAAATAATATGTAAAAAATTACAAACATCATTTATTAAATTTTCCTAAATTCGTAATACACATATATGAGCTTATATATAGAGCCCGTTGTAAGCAGTAGAGATGTATTGACTCGATAATTCTAAAAAGGATGGCTAAATATGGATTCAAAGTCCATCGTAGTATCCTCCAAATGATATCTGAGCTCTTGCCACTGGGAGACCTTTCATCACAGAAATTACTTCATTTAGCTTTGTTGCATGCTTCACTACTTCCTTCATTCGCTGCAATAACATGAATTCATATAAATCAACTTTAGAACATACAAGAACGAGTTTGACCCATGAACTAAATTGGCTATAACCATGTGATTATATTGTTCTTACACGCCCTAAATAAATCTATACCAATTATAGCTGACTTGATCTCAATTAGTATGCACACATAACTTGTAAGTAAATGAAACAGTGACGTTATTTTTTACACGTGTTTTTGTTGAAAGTGTGACTTTGACGCAACAAAAGATAAACACAAAAATGAGAATCTTCTCTACAATTATTGATTGTTCACCTAGACACGTAATATGCCACACCGCCAAACGCATCCTTATCACTTTGGTCTGATCAAAGACACAAACTACTTTTCTAATAACCAGCCTCCAATAACACCAAGCACGTTCATTTTGTATAGGTTGAGGTTTAACTTTAATAACAATTAGCCACTAAAAGAAACATACCAAACTTAATAATCATTGGCAAATAGTCTTGATTTATCCAAATTGATAATTAAAAAATCTCAAACAACTTTGTGTGTGTGTGTGTTGGGATTCATGGAATACAATTCAGAGTAACTATGAAACTAGTGCTATATGATTCATAATCAGACGTGTTAGTCAAGTGCTAATCGAACTAAGAGTTTTAGGCAACACAACGTTTGAAATGTCATAGAAGCACAACTAACCTAAGATTTACTTCCTTAACAATTTTATTTGGATTCAGAATCATAATTTAGATAAGAATTACCTTATCATCATCAGGGTAAATCTGGAACCTGAGGATCTGGTTCTTGTTCCGACAACCCTTGATGTTATTGTTGTGTCCAAGGAAGAAGACACAGATGGTAGCAGCAGCAGCTGCAACGCCAAATGAACATATAGCCCCAATTCCATTAAGACCCATCTTCCAAAGATTCATTCTTTCACCACCTATGTTCTGATCAACTTGTTCCCAGTCAACCCCTTTCTTGCTCCTCAAGCCACCACCTTCTTCGACCTCATCATAGTAATCTCCTCCTAATCCTCCATCTGAGTCGGAGTGTTTATCATTGTTCTGAGGCAGAGGACTCGTGAACCTCGCTGGTATATCTACTTTCATGTCGACAAATTCGTTTTCCTTCATTGTTTTGAAGGTTATTCTCGGCGACGGAACAGGCTCCGTCAAAAGTTCCCCGTCCGGATCCGAGAAATCCGGATCCGGGTTCTTCCTGTGATCTGTGTCGTCCACGGTGGATACAGGTTCCCAAGTTATGGGAACTTGGAGGAGCTGTGTGGGGACCACGCTTGATCTTCGACAAAACTCTGTATTTCCGACAGAATCTTGTGTTGGACAGATAAAGTAATCCATGTCGAAGTTTTTCCCGGTGTTTCTGATCATCTTCATCGCTGCCTCATGATCGTCGTCGTGATCGAGACCCTTGTAGCTGTTTAGGGGGAGTAATTCCCAATCATCTAGATCCATCTCCTCCCGTCCTCCGAGATGTTTGATTGATTTCTCTGTCTAGACTTTTCGAAGATTTTTTTTTTTTTTTTTTGTAAATTATTGGGGTGAATTGGGTTTGGTAATTTTGAGATCTCTCTCTCTCTCTCTCTCTCTCTATCTCATCATTGTGGAGTGGTTTCTAGATCCTTTAATAGAGCAAAGATGAAGAAGAGACCAAAAAAAGTATTCAGACTCCGAAATGGTTACGGTGACTGTAACAATCGGAGTAATACAACTACAGGCGTGATTGATGCAGTTAATAAACTTAATATCAGTCACTGTCAAACTAGTGTATAGATAAAATTACAGAAATGTTGAATTGTGATTAAAAACATGATTTTATAAGTAAATTACAGGATTTTCAAAAAAAATTTAACGAATAAAGTAATTTGTTTTGGTTTCTGATATAAATTTAAACAAACAATCTTATATTCTATATTGGTGAAACTATGGATGATATATACATGTATTTTTCAAAGCGTGGGCGGTGAGGTAAGTTATTTATTAGAGCTTATCAACACATGAAGTGACAAAAGAAGAGGTTACTGTTTTTGGACCCACGTATTGTCTTCTTTGACAAGGTCCCTTCTCTCTTTGATATTTATTTATGCATATAACTCCATTGGTTATAAAAAATAAAGTAGTGATGAAATCATGTTTTAGTTAGACGATGATTATGAAGAATCTTTCGTACTAAGTTGATAAGTTCTATGGATTAAGACGTCTTTTTAGAGGGGTGTTTACTTTTCGTATATAAAAAAACTTATTGGTGTTGATCTTTCTAGATAGAGAGAGCTTAGAAAGGAAGACTTCAAGCATAAACTCGGTACCAGCACGATTTACGTTTTTCATATTTTGAATATGTTTCTTAAATTCAAGTAAATTAACAAACGTTTGTAGTTAACAGACAATTCGAAAGAAAAAGGGAAGGAGAGATAATGTGTAATACAAGTCACGAGTTTAAAGTCCTTTTCGAGGGAGAAAAATATCAAAAAGATTGTAGTGGAGGTTGCTTGCTTGCAATTACAAGTGTAGTTCAAGAAAAAAGCCACGAAATTTTCATTTTAAAAATAGGAAAGTGAAAGAGGATCACTTGATACGAAGTTACGATGACGTTTTTATGTTATCATAATTATCTGATATGATCTTTACAAATGAGGAAATAAGTCTTGGTAGAAAAACTTGAGCAAAGTTTGTCTACACAAAACCAGTAAATCAGTAAATGTAAAATAAAAAATTATCTTTTAACTCCTTGAAATACCTCTAAATCATTACAAAAATGCAAAGATACAAAATTAAACATTTACTGATTTGTTTCTAGCAACCAACTCCATTTGTTCCTGCTTTGCTTTTTGCTTTCACGTCTTTGCTCTACTTTGTTGCCTACTTTATAAACATGGGAGAATCAGGAGATTGCTTCCTTGATTTTCGGCTTTAATTAAGTCAGTTTACATCTGAAATCAAGCTTATTATTTAGAAAAAGCTTAATCTTAAACCATCATCATAAACTGTTATAGAAGATAGAATCAAAATGCATACTGTTGACCAAAAAAAAAGGATAGAAAATAGTTGACAAAAAAAGAGGATAGAACATAGAATCACCTTTGGTATAAGCTTCTAAACTAGTGAAAGATTCCTAAGTGGAAAATATCTTGGTAGAGATTCAACTGTCATACACATACGCAAAAACGACATATGACAATGAAACTTCAACATGTGAACCACAGTGATCCACAGTGTCGACAAGTTTCTTTCACATATACGACCCAACAAGTGTCCACCTCTAATACCAATTAAACCAAACCGTTCATAATCCATACAAGAACATTCAGAAAAGGGAGAAAAATATTCACAAAAGAAGCAAAACCTGATTTACATACAGAGACAAGAGGAATTCCAAAGTTACAGAAACATGTCCGTAGGACCACAGAAAGTAAAGTAATCTAACTAAGCTCATCGACAATGAATGATTTCTAAATCACCCTTCAGGCTGATTGTGAAGTAGATTTTCCTAGCGAAACTGATGCAAGTGCGTTCTTTGCTCTCTCTTGGAAGTTCCTTGTTTTGGTGAGTCTCAGTTTCAACCATAGCCTCCTCACGTCCATCATGTGCAGGGCACGGCCAAACAGTTGGCTAGTCTCACCGAGTATTCCCAAGCTCAGATGCGGAACATAAGACGCCCATAACGTTTTCAAGCGCGATACCATGATGGGGAAGATCAAAATTGCCAGTTTCAAAGACAGAAACATCAGTGCAATTACCAAATATGGCTCTGTTTCCGCTATTTCTCTGATAGATGACCCGTTGCGTACCCAAGTGATCAGGTTCCCGTCGGTGTCCAAGCTTGTTGGTTCACCTTCATCCACATACTGGACAGGTTTAAGACCTGGAAAGCCACAGAGATACACCGAGTGGAGCTTGTTATAACAATAAGTTAAACGGATTGATTTTCCAGGCTATATCATGTTTCTCCAAGAGATTGTGAGCTAATGTATGCAGATACGTAAAAAACATGAGAAGAAAGCACAACAGAGACGCAGCCTGGTATTTCATGAAGAACTCTCACCTGTTGTTTCTTCGTAAAACTGAATTAGGGATGCAAGATCCTTTTGACCATGGTATCGCATCTTTAATGTTTGATTCACCATCAGGATTGAGGGCAAGCTATGGATACCATACCTAGAAAAGACACTGCAATAGTGAAAATCATAAAGATCAATTTACGTGTACCAAAGAAGATGCCAATAAAAAAAGGTGAAAACATTTTAGCATTTTGGAGGATAAGCTACTCATGAAACAACTTCATAAGGCTACAAGGGTTACAGCACAACAAATATACTAACCTACAATTGTTGGTCACCCAAATAAACTAAGAAATACCGAAGAAAGAGACAACAAACACACATAGCGTTCATTTTCTGTCAACTTATTGAATTATTTGTTCTGTGTTGGTTAAACTAACTCATGCAAACGAAATAATTACCAATAAGTGTAAAACAATGATTGATTACTGGCAAGTAGTAAAAAAAAATCTGACAAGCAACTTAAAGTCATTTTTTCCTGCAAGTGAGATACCAACACCCAAGTTTCTTGTTGTGAATAATTCAATCAAGATGCAAATGGAGTTATATACATATTCTATAGCAGAAGTTATTTTCTTACGATGGTAAAGCCTGAGATTGCTCAACAATTAGGTGCCCTATGTGGGGAAACATTGAACTCAGAGCATCAAACTTTGGGCGAACTGCACGTGAAAACGGGGAACGTGAGGCATAAAATAGTATGGATGTATAAGCATTTCCACGGTTTGCATCCATGAGCCTGTCTAACAAGTCTCCATCTACCTGCATTAGCAAAAACACAAATTTAGATACTTCTCGAGTCACAAAAACAAGCACACATCCAAGTCCATACCTTATGCAGAAGCGTGCACACACACACACACACACACTGACACACATATATTAAATCTTGCTAAATCACGTTTTCTGCATTTAAACAATAGACTTTGAACCTAATATTGTGCATTTGCACCACCACAGCCAACCAAGATTTATATCCAGGTCTCCACTTTTATGAATAGCTTAAAAAAAAAACATGAAGAGGGAAATAACCTGAAACATCTAGAAACAATGGAGCAGAAGGTAAACATCAATGAAGTGAAGCTACAAGCCTAAACCGTTCTCCTTACGTACAAGTGTGAACTTGAATGAGCCTACGCTTGCATAATGAAAGTGAAAGCTACAACAAAAAAAACTGAAGAGAAGACTTGTTGTCACCAGCACCACAACAACACTAAAGTGACATGATAAACAAGCAATGGAGGGTTTGATCATTGCGACATAAATTAAGCAAGAGTTTCATTTGATTCTAGTTTAAGCAAATCAAACTCTAACATAGAAACGCCACAAACCCGACTCACCAGACGTATCTAACACAAAGCATAAGCTAATTCAATCGGAAAATCGACATTTCAAACAAATCATGGAACTTCAGCAGAAACGAGGCGAAATTATGATTACGTACCTCAACAGGAGGCCTTGGATACAGAGAAGGATGGCATTTTCCCTCGATTCCGCATCGGAACACCTCGAACCCGTGATCGCAAACTCCCGGCCGGGACGAGGCGAACCCGGAAGGTAAGCATGACCCAGCAGCTATCGCACAGAGAAGGAGTATGGAGACTCGGAAATTCATTATAATTAAGGTGAATGGAAGAGCCAAGAGCAAAGCAGGAACCCTAAATCTAAGGTAAAAGAGAAAGAGAGATCGAATTTCTCAAACTTGATTACCGAAATATAAGAAACTTTTAGCAATTTACACACAAAAACAAGAGATTGGGGACAACGATTAAGGATGAAATCGCATCAGATTCCGAGGGCAAAAGCACGAATCAAACCAAATGATCAAAAATGAAAATCCTAGATTTAGCTCGACGTGATGAAGAACAAAACAACAAAAAACTAAAAATCTTCTCTGAAAAATTAACTAGGGCAAATTTGGGGAAAAGTCTCAGATCCGTGGGAGAAAAATATCATAAAGTTTATCTGTCACTTGTTTTTGCAGAAAACAACAGATCGAGACCGCCAAAATCGATTACGTTGACAAATCACATTCGTCACATTCCTTTTTTTTCCCTCTTTCTCCACCACTTATCCTCCCGCGGTTGGTGGATGTCTTATAAATAAAGAATTTTTGTTTTTGTAGCGGTCGTCTTATATAATGAACGACTCTATTACATAGTTTCTTCTCCATTTTGTTCAATTTTTAAATTTTATATTTTGAATTTTACGTATCTGCTTTTTTTGTTTTTTACAAAAACGTACATAAAATCTTCCCGTTCGATATTTTCTAGATAAAAAAAGTTTAAGATTGAAAGTTAAAAAAAAAATTAGAGAGAAATATATAGCAGAAGCTAAAAAATTCAGAGGATTAGTAGCATTAACGAATTAATTTGTTTTGTTAATTAAAAGAATAAAGACTATAACTAACAATCTGACCCAAAAGGATCTAAATCTAATCTCTTTTAAGGCCCATTAGTTAAGACTCCACAGGGCCCAAAGGCTATTATTCTCCAGATTTTGAACTTTTATATATTTGACAGAGAGCAGTAAGTCAAAAGCGTTATCTTCTCGCCCTCTTTCCTCTTCTTACTGCTAAGATTGATTAGCTGTCTAGGGCTTTGAAGCCGACGAACTCGTGAAGCTGAAATCGAGAAAAATGGAGGTTACAGAGCGGAGGGACGAGGAGATCAGGGACGGCAGAGAATCTGGAAACATGGACAACATTAAGTCGCAGTATGTTACCGACTCTTATGCAGATGAACGCCACTCTCGCGAGCTCAAGGCTGGTCTACATCCTCTCCGGGTTTGTCCTCTTCTCTTTACACCGATTGATTTTCAATTTAAAAACCTGATCTTAGCTGAAACTTCTCTCGCCGTGCGTTGAGGATTGGGAACTTTATATTTGACTGTTTAGAGCCTGAGTAGTGGAAGATTCGGATCCTAAATTTGTATTTCTGGAAGTTTTGTTGTGAAGTTAGGTTTTTGCGGCCTTGTTTAAATGCCTGTGAGCTCAAATATTGTAGAATAATTATGCTCCAGCTGGATTTTCGTGTTCGTCGTAGTGTTTGTAGCTCTTTATTTTGGCCCTAATTATCCATTCTTCACCGATTCAATCCTTTGATGATGTAAGTGTAAGAAAGATAAATTGTTACAATCAAATAATGGGGATCTGATTTTTTTTATATTTTGAGAATGTGCAGTACAAGTTTGCAATTTGGTACACTCGTCGAACACCAGGGGTCCGAAGCCAGACATCTTACGAGGATAACATAAAGAAGATTGTGGAATTCAGCACGGTAAGCTCCAAAATACTAATGGAAGTACAATCTTGAAGCTGTTTGCAATCTTGTCTTGTTCATTTCTGAGATCTGGCTTTGGTGCTTAGGTTGAAGGGTTTTGGGCCAGCTACTGTCACCTTGCTCGTTCTTCTCTCTTGCCTAGTCCTACAGATCTTCATTTCTTTAAGGATGGGATTCGCCCATTGTGGGAGGTACGTATTTCTATATTGTTGATTATTCTCATTGTCTTTGTGGTTGTTCGTATGAAGCAAAACCTTTTATACAACAAAAGATGTATCTCCTACAATAGACCAACTAAGGTAGCTAATTTCATCTCCTTCAGGATGGTGCCAACTGCAATGGAGGAAAGTGGATCATACGTTTCTCAAAAGTAGTATCCGCTCGCTTCTGGGAGGATATGGTGAGTTTATTTTACTTGTGGCCACTTCTATTGAGTATTGACACTCTTCTTCTTCATTCAAAAGGAAGCTTTTTGTTATTGGTCCATAAGTTGTCCATCTTTTATTTTGTATCTAGGATCGTGTTATATTTATACACTTCCATTTATTTGTTTTCTTCAGCTTCTTGCGTTGGTCGGCGACCAGCTTGATGATGCTGATAACGTATGTGGGGCAGTACTGAGTGTCCGCTTCAATGAGGACATCATTAGTGTATGGAATCGCAATGCCTCTGATCATCAGGTGAGAAACTTATCCACAAGAAGATCTCTCGCTCTCCCTTTCTTTTTGTTTGGTACTTACACAGTGTAATGTTTTTCGGTGAACAGGCAGTGATGGGGTTGAGAGACTCAATCAAGCGGCATTTGAAGCTGCCTCATGCATATGTGATGGAATACAAGCCCCACGATGCCTCTCTTCGCGACAATTCTTCCTACAGAAACACATGGCTGAGAGGATAGGTTCGAAGCCGTCGACCATTGTGTCACGTGACGTGGAGAAGATTCGGGAAGATCTCGTGCAACCTGGGAGGATTTATGGACTGAACTCTGTTTCCGGCAGCGTACTGTATTGATGGCTTACAATCTCAGCAGCGAAAATCCTGGCTACTTCTGTAGCTGTAGGTATTCAGTCGTTTTCTTGTTTCTAGACCTTTTGTTTACTACCTTCAATGGTAGTCTTGTTTTTGAATCTATAATGGTGCATTATCAAATAAAAACTTGAAGCTCACCTACTGGTTTACATTATTATGGCTTATGTCCCAAAACAGTATTTCAATGTACAATTTTCACTTCCTGCTATGGTCTCTCTCAAGTATATCTACAGATGAAACACAACTGAGTGTGGCTCTGGTGTGGATAGTTAATTGATATCAAAAGCTATAGTTTAGGATCCACAGGTGATTGAAGTCCGATAATACCTGGTTCAACATTAAAACCGAGAGTGAGTTACTTCACACTGTAAACAAAACAAAAAAAGAAGAGAAAATGGTGTTGCTAGTAATACCGCATCCAGCTCGTGCGCCTGCATTTCCTGTTGATTTGCTAAGCTTGTGTCCTCCTGCACGGTAACAACCGCAAAGAGATGATGAATGATTCTTTAATAACATTTATTCCTAAGAACTGCGGCAGGTTCTTGATGAGAAGAGTCTAGGCACAATGGTGACTACCATTAAACATTTATTCACTATTAGTGACAATGGACGATACGTATATTGAAAGGCTAAAAAGAAGCTCCTACCTTTCCCAAGGTCATCAGCATCAGCATGTACAACAACAGCCCTCCCGAGTATGGAATGTTGCCCACTAAGCGGTATCTGTGAAACCAAAGAGCAACCCGAGATAATTGGGACAATAGAGATGACAGAGAAGCTTAGGACTTGCAAAACCTACTGAAACAAAATGTAATGCTACTACATTAAATGGTTGAAGAAGGGAAAATAGAAGATCTTTTACCTGTTTGTCTTTGATTGAGATTTCAGCAACACCTGAAACAAGTCTCATCTAAAATTACTAGCATCATCCTTCAAAACACACAAAATATACAGATGAAGTAACAAAGAGAATATACCGTCTGATCCTGCAAGAATGTTACCCAAATCGCCAGCATGACGCTCTTCCTCATCCGGTGGCCCATGAACTCGATTTAATGGATTGAAGTGAGGTCCTGAAGTTTAACATTCCCGCAAGGAAACAAAAGAACTCAGGACGCAAGTTAAAAAAAAAAAAAACTCAAGAGTAGAATCACAAAGAGTTAAACACCATTCAAACATCTATAATTGATTTAATATGAATCTACGTCTATTGTAGCTAATCTATATGGCTCCTTGAGTGAATTCTTTGGCAACACTGAAGAGTCCATTTAAATTAAATCTGATCTAAACCAATCCAGTTCCATCAAGATCAAGTAAGACTACTCTATTCATATGTAAGCATGTGTTCCACACAGAGAATGAGAGAAACAGTTTACGACTTATAAGAAGAAGAAGCTAAAAAAATCTCGGAGAAATGAAAACAAATCAAAACCACAATTAAATACAAGGAAATAACAACTGAAGCATCGGATTTCAATATGAGATTTGACAAGTCCAGTAACAAAGACACAAGAGTTACAAAAAAAAACCCAACCAGTAGAGATGCAGCCATTTGTGGTATCACCGAAAGAGTGAATATGAAATCCATGGAAGCCAGGAGAGAGTCCTGAGATCTTTCCGGTTATATGTGTCGTCCCTGTAAACACACACACACACAAAGAGTCAAAGACCACAGTCCAAAAAATGAAATAGAGCATGTCGTCAAGATTATTAATTCGAAGCCGACAAATCACCGGAAGCGTCTTGTATGAATTGAAGACAGCCTCGGATGTTGCTATCGCCGGCGATAAGAGCCACCGCTCTCAGATTGCCTCTCGCAGAAGCTTCCATCGGTTCGGTATCTCGTTAGTGTCTCTGGGGATTGAAGTGGTGGTGTTGTGTTGATCGGAGGATTAAATTGGAATTGTGTATTGGTTAAGAGACTGGGAGAGAGAAGAACCAAAAACCAAATCAAACCGAAACTAAAAAACTCTCGGTTAAAAACAAATCAAGTCAGAAAAGCCTCAAATGAGAAAGAATTCAATTAACCAAAAATAACTAATTCAAATCAACTTTTGTATATAACCAAAAAGAGAGAACAAAATCATAGAAACTCCAACTTCTAGCACATTTTATTCTACATATAAGGGAAAACTTGCTGAATGGTAAGATTGATTTTGATTTTAAGTACATTGTAATTCTTAAACTGGTTTTAGTAAATGACAAAAAAAACGTACCGACAAAAGTTTGTGATGAAATGGTTGGATCATCGACAAAAGTTTGGCGATAAGAAATCAACGCCGGTTAGTGTTTGGGGGTACGGCAGCTCTAGAATTAAGATTGAACCGAAGATGTCAAACCGGCACTAAAACTTTCGGTTAAGAGAAATAAGGTTACCGAAAAAGATAGTGGAGATTAGGATGAAACGCAGCAAATGGAAAAGGGCAAATCTGGAGATAGAAAGATAAAAAAAAGGTTCCGGATATTGTTCGGGATTTTGAACCCGACGTGAATCGAACACGCAACCTTCTGATCTGGAGTCAGACGCGCTACCATTGCGCCACGGATCCGGATGTTTAAATCTTCCACTTAGTTTTATCTAACCGTGAGTTAATTATAATTAAAGGTTTTTCGAATGTTGTGTGGTATTTCGTTTTCATAGATCGTTCCACAATGTAATCACATAATCATGTCGATTTCAATTGCATGATATAACAGAATTCGATTTCTAATCTCTTGGGAAAAACTCTTTCAACAAGAAAGGGTAAATTTCATCTATCTACAATGAATAAGTCTATTTATAATTAGAAGACTAAAATGTTGGATAATCAATCATTGAAGCCGAGAAGTCACACTGATGAAAGTATCTTCAGGACAAGGGATCGTTAAGCCACCCATAGGATGATCGAACCCAAATTCTTCCTCGGATTTACTGAGAAGAGCTTGAAACGAAGGTTGGTTCAAGTATGAGATTGGCACTAAATATCTCTTCTTCTGACCCTCTCCTACGTACACCGCAAGAAACCCTTTTGGCGCCGCCGAGGCTGCTCTTTTGCTCTTAGAAGCTGCTGTTACGGAGCGGCCAAGAATCTTCTTTGCACCCAATAGACTTCTCACCAAAGCCATTTCTATATATTATTTTTTTGTCTGAAAGTTTGAATTCTTCTGAAGCTTCTTAAGATGTACGAGAAGATTCAAGTTATTGGATTGCTTGTTGTTGGTTGGTGATTGAAAGAATGGGTTATGTGTATTATATATAGATCAGTGAATGAGTTGAAGCCTCTCTGAAAAATCTTTGAAACTTGTGGTCTTTGAAGCGTGGGACAGACTAGAACAGAGTTGCACATGGCTCTGTCTTTACCATCTGGAAAAGTTTAGTTTAATGCAATTTGTCTTAGATAATTAATTGTGTGTGGGGGCAATTAACAAAAAACAAAATGCAATTCACAAGGGCTTGTTTTCTAAATGTTTGTCTTCGATAAGACATGCTATTGTGAATAATAAAGACCAGCAAGCTTCTGTTCTTCATGTTCTGTGATGATCCTATTCCCTCACCTCTGTGGTCTAAACGGATTTAACAATATATTAATAACTTAAAGTGGGGACCTGAAGTTTCTCAACAGCAGAACAATTAGTCTCTGTCTCTGCTTTAAGTTTCTCTTTCATGATTTCCACAAATAAGACCACACATGACAGTTGTAATTCAAAGAAGAATATGATTGACGATAGTATTTCATGAGTGGGGTCAGTGTTGGGTTCCTGGTGAAGTCACTGTCGGAGAAAAAGTTGTTGAGAGATAAGTCAGGAAGACAAAGGCATGACATGAGCTCAACTTCCTCTCTTAATCTAGAGATTAAGACATAGCTTTCTTCAAGTACACCATTGTTACTTTGTGATCTTATTATAAATACCTGCTACTGATTCCTGAACAACTCTCTCTCACTTACAAAAAAGAGATTCATGCGAAGAAGAAATTTTACAGTCTTTATTAGATAGAAAAAAGAGTAACAGCGTTGCTGGTTCTTTTCAGGCAAGCAAAGTATTTCTCGGTTTACACTGGGGAGAGGGAGAGGAAGAGCTAGAAGATAAACAAAGTAACATAACAAGAAAGACAAGAAAACATGTCATCTGCGTTATACAAAAGATGTGAAAGCTAAGAGGTGAACAAGAAAGACAAAAGATCTCCTGTTAACACACTCTTAAAGAGATTCAGATGGAACTTTAGCTTGAACCAAGGAAGCTTTTGACGAGCTGAGCAACAGAATTAGCCAAAGAATCTGCAGCTTCTTGAGTGGATGCTTCAGCATATACCCTCACAACATCCTCTGTACCTGATGGCCTTATGAAAGCTCTTCCACGCGGGTATTTCTCGGTTTCAGCATTAATGGCATCTTGAATCCCCAAGGGTTTCAGAGCCTCCGTTTCTTCGCTCGTGGTCACAACCGCTGTTCTGTCTGGAACTTCGACCTTAATCTGTCTGCTAGGAAGGTCTTTATATAGCTCATTCCACTTCTGTACTGACCATCCCATGTGTTGTAGAATCACTTCAACCAAGAGCAATCCACTTAGAGCGTCACCAACCGCTTGGTTGATCAGATTACTCACCGCCACTAGCCTAGAAACCGCTTTGTGCACTTCAGAGCCTTGAGAAAGCTCCTTTTGTTTAGCAACTAACGACGATAGGAAAGATTCCAAGAAGAGTATAGTCCCGTGGCCATTAGCTTCGAAGTAGATTCCAATATCATACTCTGCTGCTTTTTCGTGTAAATGCTTAACCCCGGTTTTTGCAAAGGCAACATCTAAACCCAACTGCTTAAGGTAATCCGTGGATGCACCATTTGCGTAAGCCGTCTGCACAACACCAAGACGAGAACGCGTCCCTTCTTTACCATCTTCGAGAACGTTTAGCTGCTCTTTGATGAAAAGAGCAAACAAAGACAGAATCTTGTCACCATCGAGTAGCTCAACTTTATCTGTACAAGATTCTGAAGGAATGTAAAAGTAAACCAATCGATCCGCATCGCCATCAAAACTCGCACACCTCAACCCAACATCCTTTGACCCGAATCCTAAAGGCGCAACCTTTTCCTTCTGCACGAAATCAGCGCCTACACTTTCATTAAGCACACCTCCGTCTCTTCCTGTGTTACGAATCTCAAGATCTAGATTGTTCAGAGACACTCTTAGCTCCTCAAGCTTCTGTCCACCTACACCATTAGCACCATCTACAAGCAACTTGCTAATCCCTAACTTGTTGTTTCCACTAACTGGGATCAGATCAATCAAGCACCTGAATGAAGTTGCGAGATTCTCAAAGTAATCACTCTCAGTTGCCTTGAGGCCTCTGTTCTTAGCTCGAACCATCCAATGTAGCTGCGGAGTTGTCAAGATCCCCATGTCAATCGCAACGGATCCCAAAACAGAGGAAACTCCAATTTCCGCAGCTCGGAGAAGCGATTCGCCACTGGGTCTCGTATCCCTTCCCAACCAAACCTCCGCACCTTTCTTCTTCTTATTCTCTCCGATCGCAATCTCTTCCTTCTCGACGAATTCTCCAATCAGCGAGACGAGTTCTCGAGGAGAAGACGCGTTGGCGATCTGATCAGCGAAAGGCTCCCATTCCTGAGAGAGCATGCCGCCAGACGGATCCGAGACTTTAACGCCGTTGTCGGAGACTTGGTTGTGCGACGCTGTGATCATGAGCCCGACGGTCGCTGACCCAAGCTTGAGCGATCGGAGAGCTGAGAGAATCCCAACTCTGTAGACCGTCGATTCCAGCAATTTTGCGTCGCCCCGGAACCCAGCCGTCCCGTATGAAAGCTTGACGCCTTCAGGAATCGGAAAGCGATCTGATGATTTGAGGAGGGAAGCGATTTGGGTCTCGTCCATGGCGCTAGAGAGAGAGAGAGTGAAAAAAGTGAAAGATGGGCCCTACGATGGAGGAAAGCGAACACTGAATAAACTTAAAGGAAGCATTTTTATTTAACTGTATATTATATATTCGTTTACTTTTCAACTTAGGCATTAGTCTTCTTCTCTCTCGGCCAGATCTCTTCTTCACTTATCTTCTTTCGCTCATGACCGTCCGATGGACAGATCGGAGGATTTAAGACGGGGTTGCTTTCGTTCTCTGGTTAAGATCTGAAGTTGCAAACGACAGCTTTCCCGTTTGCACTTCTCAATTTGACCCAAACCTTCTGTCTGTTAAGATGAAAGATTTTTGTGGGATTGAGTAGTGCAACGGGAAAGCTGCCAATTGCAATTATTGGCTTGAAATTGAAAACTGAAGAACAGTTTACAAGTAGATTTTCTTCCCTCGGATTTATGGAAAGGTGCCTATTTTTTTTTCTTTTGTTGTTTGTTTGTCTTCTTCAGGATTCTATAGCCAAAAACTTGGTTAACGCTTAGAAGCTCCATTAGAATATTGACCAGAGGTCGAGGAACAAGAAAGGTTAGCTCTTTGTTAGTACAATCATTTTTTTGTAAACAATGAAAATCATCATCTGAAATGAAGATACCAAAAGAACATGAGTACTTAGGAGCTTAGATCTTTTACAACTCGCTGAAATGCGAGGAAAAATGTTACATTAGTCTAGGGGAGAGGGAGCTTTATATGTACAAAATGGTGACAAAACAACAAAATTTACAGAAGGAGATGTGTGTTTTGGATATGCGAGGTGAGATCAGCAAAAGTTTCTTCACTGCAGGGGATTGTTAGTCTATCCATTGGGTGATCAAACCCAAACTCATCCTCTGCCTTTCTTAGCAGATGTTGAAAAGATGGTTGGCTCAAGAACGATATCGGAACCACATATCTCTTCTTTTGGCTCTCCCCTACGTACACCGCAAAGTAACCCTTTGGAACATCAGCAGACTTTGAGGTTGCAAACAGTTTCGCTTGCCTGAAGATTTGCATTGATTGCAGCACTCGAGGAACTCTGAAAGCCATCGAATCTTCTTGCTGTTTTTTTTTTTTGTATATAAAGATGATTGCAAAGAAAAAGATCTTCCTGTTTCTTAAAGATGTGAGAAGTTCTTGTGCGGGTTTAAGGGTTTGGGAACTTCTTTTTATAGATATACCACTTGAAGATATCTTGACTTGTCTTTTTTTTTTTGTCTCAGAGAAACTCAGCTAATATGTACTGACACATGCTTTGTCAAGTCTTGGCCAACATTTTGATCTAAATAAGGCCCCATCTGATGGTGGTTGTTCGATGAGGTTCTTGTAGAGATATCCACATGGAATGTGACAGCCTAACAGGTTAGTCGCCGCTTACATTTTCAATCAAATTTAAGTTTCATAACATGTGATCATGTCCTTTCAACATGAATGTGTGTCATTCTTGTTTTCTTGGTAGGCAACTTAAAGTCCCATCTGATTATGAATGTGTCATTCTTGTTTAGTAGACGAGAGAGATTGCAATATCTCATTTTTTCCCTCTTAATTAGTTATTAAGACACTGAAGGAACAAACCCTTGTGAAGTGCATATGATGTTAGTTTAGCTTTCGTTGCTTGTCATATATCATATCTGGAAAACAAAACCATGTGAAACTCTCTTCATGTGTGTCCCACAGTTTCATTGGTTACAGGGTGGTTTTGACTCCTTCACTGATCTATTTAAACATCCAGAAACGGAACCAACTCTTCACATCACCAAGTGGTAAAGCAATCCAAAAGCTTGACTCTCAACATTAAACTTGTATTCCTCAGTTTAGATTTTCAGAGACTAAAAATGGCTTTCGTGAGAGGTCTATTGGGTGCAAAGAAGACTCTGAGCCGTTCTGTAACAGCTAAAACACCAAAAGGGTTTCTTGCGGTGTACGTTGGCGAGGACCAGGTCCCGAAGAAGAGGTATATAGTTCCCGTCTCATACTTGAGCCAGCCTTCGTTTCAAGCTCTGCTCAGTAAATCCGAGGAAGAGTTTGGGTTCGATCATCCGATGGGTGGCTTAACGATCCCTTGTCCTGAAGATACTTTCATCACCGTAACTTCTGGGCTCAAGGGAAGATGATCTGAAAAGAAGATCAACCTTTTAGCTAGCCCGAGTTAGAGATAGAATGATTCAATATTGTAAAATAGGGTCAACCTTTTTCCTCTTTCTTTGTGAGAAAAGAGTTGTTCAAGAGATTACAAAATTCAATGCGAATGTCAGTTTTTTTTAAAAAAAAATGAATGGTGTCAATGAGAATTTTGTTCCAAGTTAAGAATATACAAGTGTCTCTCACGTCACCATTTCAGGAGAACAATAAATACTTCGGTCTTTGAAGTATGCTAGATTAAGCTAAAAAAACAGAGTAAAGAAGACACATAGGATCTAACTGCTAAAGAAAGAAAAACACAGAAAAAATGTTCTTCTCACTGTTACGTGATTTGTAAGTATGGTAAAACATGTTTTAGGGACAAAATACTGAAATCTGAGGAGATCCATTTACTCCCTTGCAGATGTAGACTGGAGATTGATTCTAACATTATTAACTAGATAATACATCTAATCCTTTTTTACTTGGAAATTTGAAAGAAAAAAAACTTAATCTCATCTCTTCTCTGTTAGATGCAAAACTTCAATGGTTGGGAATTTGGTTAAAATTGAGCCACGGATATGGTTAAGTACTCTCATAAGCTTTATATAACAACTAAAAGTATAATTTTAATAGTTCTTTAATCGATGTTGTCCTTTCTTTGATTAAAGATGAATCATGATTGTGTCTATAACAGTACTTTTCAAAACTTTTAGAACAACTCTTTCAAGAAGAAAGAGAAAAAACAATGTTCTGTATTTACAAGGAACAAGTCTATATCTAACTCGAAGAACAAGATGTTGGATAATCATCATTGGAGCCTAGAAGTTACGTTGATGAAGGTATCTTCAGGACAAGGGATCGTTAAGCCACCCATTGGATGATCGAACCCAAACTCTTCTTCGGATTTGCTGAGAAGAGCTTGAAACGAAGGCTGGCTCAAGTATGAGATTGGCACTACATATCTCTTCTTCTGACCCTCTCCCACGTACACCGCAAGAAACCCTTTTGGCGCTGCCGAGGCTGCCCTTTTGCTTGTTGCGGCTCCTGCTGTTACGGAGAGGCCAAGTATCTTCTTTGCACCCAATAGACTTCTCACCAAAGCCATTTCTATTTCTTTTGTCTTTTGAAGCTTCTGAAAATGTATGGAAAGATTCAAGTTATTGGAATATTGCTTGTTTGTTTGTTGATGATAGAAAGAATGGGTTATGTTACGTGTATATATAGAAATATCAAGGTTGAGTTGAAACTTCTCTGAAAAATCCCTGAAACTTGTGGTCTTGAAGTGTGGGACAGATTAGAACAGAGTCTCACATGGTTCTGTCTTTACCAATAGTTTGATGCGATTTGTTTAGATGAGATAATTGATTGAGTGTGGGACAATAAACTAAAAACAAAAGGAAATTCACAAGGGCTTGTTTACTCAATGTTTTTTTAAGAATAGACATATGGTATTGTCAATAATAAAGACCAGCAAGTTTCTCTTCTTCATGTTCTGTGATGATCCTATTCCCTCATCTCTCTCAGTGGTCTAATTGGATTTGATTTAAGAACTTAAAAGTGGGGACCTGTTAGTTACTTAACAACAGAACAACAAGTCTATGTCAGTGGTTTAAGTTGTTCTTTGATGATATCCACAAATAGGAGATCCCACTTGAGTGTTATACGTAAAAGATTGAATATTTCATTTCTTTTCTTCATCTATTATGCAGACATGGAGAAAACAAGACAGATAATGCTCGTTAGCCTTCGTTTCTTGTCATCTATCATATCTAGAAGACAGAACCATGTGAAACTATGTCTGTGTATGTCCCATACTTTCAATGGTTCTAGGGTGGTTTTAAGTCCTTCATCAATCTATTTATACATCCAGGGCCAGGGCCAACTTCTCAAATCACCAAGCAGCAAAGCAATCCAAACCAAGCATCTGAGCATCCAAGTTCTTTTTTTCAGAAAGCTTCAAATTTAGATTTTCCAGACACAAGAAAATGGCTATGTTCAGAGGTCTCTTGGGTGCAAAGAAGATTATCGGCCTTTCTGTAGCGGCTACAAGCAAAAGAACCGTTTCAGCACCAAAGGGGTTCCTTGCGGTGTACGTCGGTGAAGACCAGGTCCAGAAGAAGAGATATTTGGTGCCAATCTCATATTTAAACCAGCCTTCTTTTCAAGCTCTTCTCAGTGAATCCGAGGAAGAGTTTGGATTCGATCATCCAATGGGTGGACTAACGATACCTTGTCCTGAAGATACATTCATCAACGTAACGTCTCGGCTCCAATGATGACGTTCCGAAAAGAAGAAAAAACTAACTCTAGTTAGCCAGAGTGAGAGAATAGTTATTCAAATGTAAATATGTTAACTTTTTCCTCTCTTTGTGAAAGAGAGTTGCTCAAGAGGTTACAAAACTCAAGTGTGATCGCTATATTTTTCTGTGTAAGAACAAAGGTTCCAATTATACAAACTTCAGCAAAGTTTCTCTGAGAAATATTTCATCATTCTTGTATACATAATTGGATTGACTTTTGGAAAACAAGCAACATGGTTCTGGTTTCTCTTCATGTTTTGTAATGACTCTCTGGTGGGTTCTATGTCCTATTCTCAAAACAGAAATCAAGAATAACAAATAAAGATCACAAGAAAAGAGAAAAAAAAACAAGAGAATCATATTACTTTACAGAAACTAAAATAATCTGTCATTGAAAGGGAAAACAAAAACGAAAGAAACTGAGGAGCATTGAGCGATGATGAAGGCGCTGCTTTACAAAGAAGACACAAGACTCTCCATATGATTTGGAAAAGTAAAAAAAAGGCTTATCATTTGTTTATCACCAACAATCCCTTCAAACAAGGCTTCTCGAATACTGTTTCTCCTCGGATCGAAATATAGAATATAAAACGATTCAGAAAATTCGCCTGGCGCAAAGATGAGCTCACCAGCAACAGTAACGCCATGGAAACATAGCAGAGGCATCATCCTCCCTTGTATTGTATCTCTATGAGAAGGTACAAGAAAGCGTTTATGCGCCCATTCATGTCCATCCGCATCTTTCAAAACCCACAGATCAAAGTTATTATCGGAAATGTGAGAACTAACAAAGGCTACTCTTCCCTCATAAGGCACCATATGATCAACCGAACAAATATAAAAACCCACGGGAAGTTTTATCGGAATGAACTTTTCAAATCTGACATCAAAGCTCATTATAATGTTTTCTTCAAGACCAGGAGTACCAAAAAGGGCAGCAAAATACAGAATACCGTTGAAGCATCGCCCAGCATCTCCGATATGTCTCCATGGCTGCGTAGGGAGTGTTCTCCAAGTTTCTTTAGCTCGCAATGTAAGAACCCTAGCATGTTCGGAATTAACTACATGCAGCACTTTGTGTTTGCCCTCCAATGGGTCGTATCCTAAAAAGGACATTCCTTCATGGCTTCTTTTGGGCTTTGGTAAGTTTATAAACCGTCTCGTGGCTGGGTTCCATATTACGAGTCCGCAGAACAAAACCAAGCCCTGTACGCACTCGGATAGCGGAAAGCTCCAATCATGAGGGCGTGTCATCATCTGATAACTTTCCACCGGAGAAGAAGAGCCGTCAGGATTCTGTTCTTGAGGAAACGAGAAGACGAATCGCTTCGAGTTTGTTGCGAAGGTGAGCAGAAAACGCGGTGGCCGTTCACAGGAACGAGCCGCGAACGAGTTTATGAAACTTTGGTGTTTGGTGCAGGAAGACCAGTCCTTTGACACACTCTGAGATCTCACTATCGATTTCGCAGGAAGTCTTGGGAGTATCTCCGATATTAGATCAAGAGGAATCGGGTTTATTTGAGATCTATCATCCTCATTATCATCATGTGTTGTTTCTCTCTGGATCTTTCTTCCCATCCCTTGCTCTTCATTCATGGCGCCGATTGCTTAACAAGGATCTCATCCACTATACCCGCTCAGCAGTCAATACGTACTTAAAAGTAAAACCCTAATTAAAACACATGTGTCCTTATTGTTAAAAATTATAAAATTAATCCTTTTAAGAAGTCATTATTACATAAAAGGGGGACATTTTGTTTTTACTGAATTGGATTGTATTCAAAGCCCAAAAAGGTCCAAACCACTAGACATATGTACAGTATTTTCAGTTCATAAAACAAAGACTGAACACTAAAAATACGGAGTGTCCAACAATAAAATAAAGATTTCAGTTCACATTTCTAATATGGAAGAGTATTTTTTTTTCAAAGAATAAACAGTAAAACAAAAATTAGTAAATTACAAATAGTATTCTTTGAAGGTTACGTACATTACAAGAAACCCTTTTGGAGGCTAGCCATTTTACAGAGTGTCCAACTTTGCGCCTAATAGGATTCTGATTAAAAATCAAAGATGCCGGTCCCACGTCAATTCTTGTATTTGTTGGCGCCAATTTAATGGTAACGTTATTAACTAGATAACTTTTTTGATTATGCGTAATTTTTATATTGTAAGTTAAAACTATGCTCAGTCTTTTTCAATGATCGATCCAAAATGTATTGACATGAATCAAGATCGTCTCTATTGCAAAGCATATAGCATTCACTTTCAAACAAAATTATAGAACAAATCTTTTAAGAAGAAAGAGAAAAAAACTCATCTAGGTATATTAATGTATATATATACAAGGAACAAGTCTATCTCTAACTCAACCAACAATATGTGTTGGATAATCAATCAGTGAAGCCGAGAAGTCACGTTGATGAATATATCTTCAGGACAAGGGATAGTTAAGCCACCCATCGGATGATCGAATCCAAATTCTTCTTCGGATTTACTGAGAAGAGCTTGAAACGAAGGTTGGTTCAAGTATGAGATTGGCACTAAATATCTCTTCTTCTGGCTCTCTCCTACGTACACCGCAAGAAACCCTTTTGGCGCTGCTGAGGCTACTTTTTTGCTTGTTTCGGCTGCCGCTACGACAGAGCGGCCAAGAATCGTTTTTGCACCCAATAGAGTTCTCACCAAAGCCATTTCTTTTCTTCTTTTTTTTAGCTAAAAATTTGAATTCTTTTGAAGATGTATGAAAATATTAAAGTTATTTGATTCGATTGCTTGCTTGTTGGTTTGATGATAGAAAGAACGGGTATTGTGTTTATATAGAAAGATCAGTGAATGAGTTGAAATCTCTCAGAAAAAATCTTTGACACTTGTCTTTCTTGAATCGTGGGACAGGCCAGAACAGAGTTTCACATGGTTCTGTCTTAAAATTTATGGAAAATATGCATTAATGGAGTTTGTCTTGATGGATAAATAAATGAGTCACAAGGGCTTGTTGTGTGGTTGGCTGTTTGTCCTATTCTCTAATCTCTGTGGTCTAAATAGACTTAATAAGACCCTAAAGTGGGGACCTGAAGTTACCCAACAACAGAACACCAAAGTCTGTGTCACAGGTTAAGTTGTTCTTTGATGAGATAGAGATCACACATGACAGTTATGAGGAAAAGAAGATTCTTTTGGAGGAAATCTCAGAAACATTGAGAAAACAAGCCCTCGTGAATTGCCTATGGAGATTATTCTCGTAGACAAATTTCATTAATGCATCTTTTTTTCCAGATGCTTAAGACAGAACCATGTGCAACTCTGTTCTAGTCTGTCCCACGCTTCAAAGACCACAAGTTTCAAAGATTTTTCAGAGAGTTTTCAACTCATTAATTTTCATCGACCTTTCTATATATATACACATAACCTATTCTTTCTATCATCAAACAACAAACAAGAAATACATCCAATAAGTTGAATCTTTTCATACATCTTCAGAAGCTTCAAAAGAATTCAATCTTTCAGCCTAAAAAGAGATACGAAATGGCTTTGGTGAGAAGTTTATTGGGGGCAAAGAAGATTCTTGGCCTTTCCGTCACAGCAGTTTCTACAAGCAAAAAGGCAGCCTCTGCGGCGCCAAAAGGGTTTCTTGCAGTGTACGTAGGAGAGAGCCAGAAGAAGAGATATTTAGTGCCAATCTCATACTTGAACAATCCTTCGTTTCAAGCTCTTCTCAGTAAATCCGAGGAAGAGTTCGGGTTCGATCATCCAATGGGTGGCTTAACGATCCCTTGTCCTGAAGATACTTTCATCAATGTGACTTCTCGGCTTCAATGATTGATTATCCGATATTTTGTTCTTAGAATTAGAAATAGACTTATTCATTGTAGATAGATGACATTTTACCCTTTCTTGTTGAAAGAGTTTTTCCCCAAGAGGTTAAAAATCGAATTCTGTTATCATGCAATTGCAATCGACATGATTATGTGATTACATTGTGGAACGATCTACGAAAACGAAATACCACAACATTCGAAAAACCTTTAATTATAATGAACTCATGGTTAGATAAAACTAAGTACGATTAGTAAACATCCGGATCCGTGGCGCAATGGTAGCGCGTCTGACTCCAGATCAGAAGGTTGCGTGTTCGATTCACGTCGGGTTCAAACTCCCGAACTGTATCCGGAAAATCTTTTTGCTAGATGTTTCCAAATTTGCCCTTCGCTCTTGCTGCGGAAATGGTTTCTTGCAGTGTACGCAACCTCTAAACTTTATTTGCCACTTTTGGTAGTCGTGGTGCTTATCCTGAGTACATTATAATGAGTTTTGACGTCAGACCCGAAAATTTCAGTCCGACAAAAATTCCCGAGGGTTTTAAAATTAGTTCGAGTGATGGTATGATACCTTATGAGGGAAGACTTGCACTGAGACGGATATGGGAACGGAAACGAGAACGGGGACTGGACTGGGATGGGAAATGATAAAACTAAAAAATTTGTAGATACGGTACGGCATAAATACGTCTATAAAAATATCCATAGATTTAAAATATAAGAAAGTCAAATCATAAATCTTAAAGTAAAAAAATACTTAGAAGAGATGAACAAAACAAGTAATTGAATTGTTTGAAAGTGGAGCCTAGAAAATGTTTAAGAGAGATATGAACAAAAGGAGACAATCGTGAGACGTGAAAAGAGATGATTGTCATTAAAAATTTAAGTTAAAATCCTAGTTTAATCTAATTTTTCTTTTTTTTCTCTCTTAATTTACTTTTTTAACTTATAAAAAAAAATATTAGAAAAACGTCCCCAACTTTTAGGAAATGTTTCCAAGCCGTCCCGACAAGTCCCCGTCTCTGAAACGTTACGGGTACGGGAAACGGCACCTAAAAGACGTCCCCATGCATCATAAGGTTAGTTAGTTCTCACATTACTCGAGAAGCCTTGTTTGAAGAGATTGTTGGTGATAAATTCAGACGCACGGCGTATGGACTTAATAAACACGACATACGCCATTTTGATATTTTTTCAAATCACAGGGAGTCTTGTGTCTTCTTTGTAAAGCATCGCCTAGCTTCATCATCGCTCAGTGCTCCTCAGTTTCTTTTGTTTTTCTTTTCCCTCTTGTTTATTTATTTTTAATTTTATATATTTTCTAGTGATTGTTCTTCTTGATTTCTGTTTCGAGAATAGTACATAGAACCCACCAGAGAATCATTACAAAACATGAAGAAAACAGAACCGTGTTGCTTGTTGTGCAACAGTCAATCCAATTATGTTTACAAGAATGATGAAATATTTCTCTAAAAAACTTTGCTGAAGTTTGTATAATTGGAACCTTTGCTCTTACATAGAAAAATATAGCGATCACATGTGAGTTTTGTAACCTCTTGAAAAACTCTCTTTCACAAAGAGAGGAAAAAAGTTAACATAATTACATTGAATAATTTTATCTCTAACTCTGGCTAACTAATGTTAGTTTTCTTCTTCTTTTGGAACATCATCATTGAAGCCGAGAAGTCACATCGATGAATGTATCTTCAGGACAAGGAATCGTTAATCCACCCATTGGATGATCAAATCCAAACTCTTCCTCGGATTTACCGAGAAGAGCTTGAAAAGAAGGCTGGTTCAAATATGAGATTGGCACCAAATATCTCTTCTTCTGGACCTGGTCTTCGCCGACGTACACCGCAAGGAACCCCTTTGGTGCTGAAACGGTTCTTTTGCTTGTAGCCGCTACAGAAAGGCCGATAATCTTCTTTGCACCCAAGAGACCTCTGAACATAGCCATTTTCTTGTGTCTGGAAAATCTAAATTTAAACCTTCTGAAAAAAGAAAATTGGATGCTCAGATGCTTGGTTTGGATTGCTTTACTGCTTGTTGATTTGAAGAGTTGGTTCTGGCCCTGGATGTATAAATAGATTGATGAAAGACTTGAAACCACCCTAGAACCATTGATAGAATGGGACATACACAGACATAGTTTCACATGATTCTGTCTTCCAGACATGATAGATGACAAGAAACGAAGGCTAACGAGCATTATCTGTGTTGTTTTCTCCATGTCTGCATAATAAATGAAGAGAAGAAATGAAATATTCAATCTTTTAGTGGGATCTCCTATTTGTGACAGAGAATTCGTTGTTCTGTAGTTGAGTAACTTCAGGTCCCCACGTTTAATTTATTATTAAGTCCGTTTAAACCACAGAGGTGAGGGAATAAGATCATGTACAGGTCCCCACTTGTATATTCTTTACTTAGAACTGCCATGTGTTATCAAAGAAAAACTTGACCAGTGACAGAGACTTGTTGATCTGTTGTTGAGAAACAAAATGTCCCCACGTTAGGTTCTTATTAAATCCATTTCGACCACAGAGACTAGAGAATAGGACAAAGGACCAACTACTTAATCATCACAGATTCACAAAAACATTTTGTAATTGATGAACTTAAATATACAGGGCACGTCTCATCTCAGAAACATTTAGAAAACAAGCCATCGTGAATTGCATACGGAGATTATCCAAGTAGACAAATTGCATTAATGCATCTTTTTCCAGATGCAAAAGACAGAACCATGTGATACTCTCATGCTCTAGTCTGTCCCACGCTTCAAAGACCACAAGTTTCAAGGATTTTTCAGAGATGTTTCAGCTTATTGATTTCATCGATCGATCTATATATATACACATAACCCATTCTTTCTATCATCAACCAATACCAAGCAATATATCCAATCCAATAACTTGAATCTTTTCGTACATCTTAAGAAGCTTCAAAAGAATTCAAACGTTCAGACAAAAAACAATATATAGAAATGGCTTTGGTGAGAAGTCTATTGGGTGCAAAGAAGATACTTGGCCGCTCCGTAACAGCAGCAGCCGAAAAAAGCAAAAGGGCAGCCTCGGCAGCGCCAAAAGGGTTTCTTGCGGTGTACGAAGGAGAAAGTCAGAAGAAGAGATATGTGGTACCAATCTCATACTTGAGTCAGCCTTCGTTTCAGGCTCTTCTCAGCAAATCCGAAGAAGAGTTTGGGTTCGATCATCCGATGGGCGGCTTAACGATTCCTTGTCCTGAAGATATATTCATCAACGTAACGTCTAGGCTCCAATAGTCCAACGATGATTGTCCAAAGTTTTGTTCTTCCGAGTTAGAAATAGGCTTATTCATTGTAAACATAGGAGCTTTTTCTCTCTTTCTTCCTGAAATAGTTGTTTAGAGAGTGAATACCATATTTTTTATTCAATAGACACGATCATGTTAATTTTTTAACTAATTAAATCACGGTTTAAATAAATATAAGTGATAATGTATAATATCCGGATCCGTGGCGCAATGGTAGCGCGTCTGACTCCAGATCAGAAGGTTGCGTGTTCGATTCACGTCGGGTTCAAAATCCCGAACTATATCCGGAATATTTTTGACTCCTGTTTCCATTTTTGCCTTTCGCATTGCGTCCGGTTCGGGATTCTCATTTTTCTCAACCGAGGATTTCGGATCCGGTACGATTCGGTTATCTCTTTCCAACATATATTTCAACTTTATTCTACGAATAATATTACATTTTTTTTTTTGCTTGGCTTTCCTATAATTACATATATTCCTTATAAATTATAAAGACACGCATTGCCCCAAATAGGAAAATTATAGCGACACACACCAATTAAAGTATAGATGTGGACTGGATCCATTTTTCAATGATACATTGAAATATGATTCGTTGGATTATATACATGTGACTATGTGAGATCATCATTTATCTGCTCTACATACGTTTAAAAAAAAAAAGGAAATCTAACTAAGTAAAACTGTAAAATACATTATGAATATATTTTGTTTTCCAAATTTACCACTAAAAGTACTACAAACCTTCGGTTTACAAAAGTTACTAAAAGTATAGATTATACTGTATGTAGTAACTGATTTATGGGGTACTTACTAAACTTTTAGAAACCCTTCATAAATTAAAAATTTGTAGTATTTTTTGAAGTTAAAAATGTATTTGTGGTATTTCAAACTAATTATATAACATGTATATTAAAAAAAAAAATTTGAATTATTGTCATCTCAAGTTGATCTTGGTTTATAATTTTTTTTTTTCCTTCTGCAATGTTAAGGTCATAAGGTGGAAACTCCTTGAAATAGGGTACATTTGGTAGTATTTGTTCATACCTCATCACTGAGTTTTTATTTGGCTAAGCTAATTCGAATGGATTTGCCCGTTTTTTGTCGTCTAGAATTGATAATACACAATAGCGGAATTGAATCCAAATTATGACAAACCATCAACCTACAAAACTCCTATCTCTAATGGATTTTGATTCGTAGTAATTAAAACTGAGAATACTTATAACCTTTCAAGTATGTAACATATGTAAGTTATATAAAAAGGATACGTGGCTTCATACCTAATAATTGGGCTATAAAGTCAGTGCATAATACTGTGTATTAAATACGAATAAGAAAGAGAAAATAAAGTAATTAAGTCTCTGTCTTTTTTTAGAATTGAGTTACTAAAACAAGAAACTTGCACTGCTTTTTGCGTGCCTGTGAAGTCTAAAGCTTACTCCTGTTTCCGTATATTATAACGAAATCAAATTACGAAAATAATTAGTTTGATGATACGTGGGAATCTTTCTCAACTAACCACATGTAAAATTTATTTCGAAAATTAATGTTGTAAAAGAAAGGGTACACTAAGAATTTACAAAGCTCCTCCCTCTCTCTATCTCTATCTCTCTCTCTCTCTCTCTCTCTCTCTCTCCCATACTTTGCCCATAATCACAGAGAGAGAGTGAAGTAGTGAGTCAGTAAGAGAGAGAAATAGAAAGAGAAGTTGAGAATCAACGGAAAATAAACAGAGAAAGGGATTAAGAGTGAGAGATGGAGCGAAACAGTGGTTTTGGTCAGATTATGGAAGAAGGTGACAATCCCGGATTCTTCAAGATTCTTCGAAGGGAAGATTTATCTTCTGAAATCATGGTAACTCTCTTAATTTTTTCATACCTAGAGTTTCTAGTTAGCTTTTTGTTTGAAAGATCGAATCTTTTGGTTCTTCCATGCTCCAATGGATCTCTAGAGGAATTTTGCTGCTGTTCTTTTCAGTATGAAACTTAGATCTGTTTCGTGGTGAGGTTTTGTTCTGTTTTTTTCTTTTCAGATTTCTTGTCTGGTTTGTGTGTGAAATGATCGGATTATATCACTGAAATTGAAGTAATTTTTTTTATCATTTCTTGATGTCGATCCTCTCTTGATATCTCTTGATTTTGTTGTGGCTCTAAAGAGAATGATTCCTCATGACTTCATAAGAAGCGTCTCCCAAAGCTCGTCATCGTTTAAGATGGACTTAAAAGTTCCATGGGGAAACTCATGGCCAGTCAAAATCTCCAAGAACCCAAGTTTTCACTACATGGAAGATCGTGGATGGAACCAGTTTGTGAGCGACAACGCTTTGGGTGAAAACGAGTATCTTACCTTCACTCACGAGGGAAATATGTACTTTAGCGTAAGCATCTACGAGCCAGATGGTACGGAGATGCTTAGACCAAGAAAATCTGTAACCATTGCTTCTAGTTCCGGTATATGTGATTACTTTTGTGACGCTTAGGGAGAAGTAGAAGAAGAAGAAGACAATTTTTACTCTTGTGGCTGATTTTGGATGAACGCAGGCCTGAACAAGACAGAACAGAGGAAGGGCTTATACAAAGATGTGAAGGAGGAAGAGATAGTGTCTTCGTCTGAATCGAGCTATCATGGTCTCAAAAGCAGGTTGAAGCAGAAACGGGGGAGTAACTTGGGAAAGAAGAAAGCTGAAGAAACCGTAAAATCGAAGAAGAAGAAGAAGAAGGTGGATACTGCTTGTAACGATTTTGAAGCCGGAACCTCGTCACTTGTTCCAGAATTCAATATCACCATAAAGAAATCACACCTCCTGTTCTTGGTAAGACAAGGAAAGACAAGATCAGCAACACTGTCAAATTGGTTATCTATAAATGTGAAGTTAATCCAATAAAAAAATTGTGTTTCAGGCAATCCCGAAGTGGTTTGTGGATAAGCATATGCCAAAGGAGACAAAAATGTTCAAGATTCATTCGAAAGGGATGGATTCAGGGGAAGTTTTGTATCTGGTCACTGATGTCCAGACAAGATTCTCTGCTGGCTGGTCTCGTTTGGCCAAGGGGTTAGGTTTAGAGGTCGGAGATGTCTGCAAGTTCAAGCTCATTAAACCAACCGAGATGCTTCTCGAATTCTCCAGAGATGATGAAGAAGAATACGACGACGATGATGATGATGATGAAGAAGAAGAATACGACGATGATATATGACATTATGGGTTGTTGGAGAATTAGTGAGAGCCTTTTGGAAGATGTCTCTGAGGGCTAAAGATTTATTTGTCTTATTATTAAGGATGATGATTGTTGTAATGTTTACATGGACAACGAGTATCGCTATCTCTTTCTCTGGTCTCTTCTCTTTCTAGATTGACAACGAAAAAAAAAACTTACAAATGTTTCTCGCGTCTTCTACTGCGTACAATATAGGAAACTGTATAAGCTCTCTGGTCAATCACTGAGATTCCTGAGCTAATTTAGAGTTGTGAATCCACGAATCAAGCGTCTTGATAGCTTTGCCAGACGATTGCACTTCACGGGCCAGGGTCACTCCTTCGGCTAGCGTTTGAACTCGGTTGCTAACCAGTAGAGCTGCAGCTGCGTTTAGGATCTGAAACAAGATTTTTGGAAAAAAATGGATGATAAAAATTTGCAGAAGCTCACGAGAACATGAAAGTTTTCAGAGAGAGAGAGAGAGAGAATGAATGATGTATCCGTAAAAGTTCAAAAACAAAACATACCAATGAATCTGCAATTGGCCCACTTTCCCCTGAAAGCACACGTCTTAACACATCCGCATTGTAGTCTGGACCTCCACCACGTAAATCCTCAATGGTACAACGAGGAATCCCAAAGTCCACTGTCAGAAAGAAATAAGCTTTAACTTAACTAACTCCCTATATATCACCAAGCTAGAGACTTGAAAGAGAAATCTTTACATGGGTCGAATGAGAATTCTTCAATCTTTTCCGGGGTTACATCATAAACTAGCCCTCCTCCTATTCTCATTAAGCCACATAATGGTTCAGTAATCATTGGATGATAACAATAAAAGTCAAGGGATTTGGGAAATAAAGAATCATATTACCTAAAGGACTCATTTCGTCTAGGCCATATGAATGAACAACCAATGCTCTCTTCATACCAAATCGCTGCAGCGCCTTTGCCATCTTAAGAACCTACAAACCACAAAATAGAATATGATAAGTATAAGCCTCTTTCTTTTGTATTTTGTTGATGAACAACTAATTCAGTGGTGGTAAGAAAGTGTACCAGGTTCTTGTGGTATACACCAACGACGGCATAAGAGACGCTAGCAGGATTAAGCATTGGTCCCAATATGTTAAAAACGGTTTTAATTTTAAGCTTTTTCCGGACCGGACCAACGATCTTCATAGCTGGATGGTACATTGGTGACATCATAAAACCAATCCCTGATTCTTCCACACATCTCTTAATCCCCTCTGGTCCCAAGTCAATCGCCACTCCTAGTGCCTCTAATACATCAGCACTTCCACATGCAGATGAACTCGAACGATTCCCTTGCTGCAACAAACAGATGACTTCATTTACCATTACTGCGAAAAAAAATCGCATTTCTTATAAGGATTATACCTTGGCTACTTTTGCACCAGAAGCTGCAGCAAGTATTGAAGATCCAGTTGATATGTTGACTGTGTTTGCTCCATCGCCACCTGTTCCAACTATGTCCACGGCATCGACTAATCCTTCCACTTTCATGGCATGCTTCATCATTGCCCTTGCCAATCCCACAACCTACCCATAAATGTCTACTCAGTTAAGTGCTGTAATAAAGGACTATGTATACGTTTTCATACAGAGAGATTGACTTAGTTTCGAAACTTACTTCTTCGTATGTCTCTCCTTTAGCTCTCAGCAGAACCAGAAAGGCACTAATTAGCGCCTCGTTTGCCTCCTTCAGCAAAAACTCGAGAGATGATTCAGCCTCGGATTCAGATAGATCAACCCGATCAATCAAAGTTTCAATCAACTGAGAACAACGAAAATAACAGAACAGAGAGCAAAGGCATTATCAGAACATAGTAACCTCATATGATCTTCAATCTCTGTCTCCATAGTCATTGGAAGCTCAACAAAACTAAAACTATTTTGAAACCCATAAAAAGCCATCAACTCATTCCAAGCTATACAAATGAAATTTTGAAGAAGATACGGGAGCAATCATGTTTAGTCAGAGGATGAAGCAAGTGAGAAAACAGATCCAGATCTATTTATCAAGACCTGAATTGTTCAAATAAATGAAGACCCACAAACCTGAGATCAAAAGTCACAAACTTAACCAGAAAATCGAAATGAAAAAATCACCTGGTTGAAAGATTTGACGGAAGAAGGGCTGGCATTTTCACAAGCAGTTGGCAGAGCTTCAGGAGCACCGAAACCAGTGATTCCACCTCTCAAAGCGAGATTCTGAGGGTGAGTGAAAGAGCTGCAGCAATTCAGTGAGATTAAGAGCACAATCAGATTCCTAGATTCAATTCAATGACCCCAAACAATTTTCAGGGGATTGTGATTTCCTCTAAGTAAGACGCCTAAACCCAAATCGAGGATTACCTGCGACTGGAAGACGGAAATGAAGATTGAGCATTCCCGCGAATTGGGGACACAGCTCCAATCGATGAGAATCGTCGCCGGCTCAATGCCGGATACATTTTAACACCGCTCAGGTTGATTCTTCCGCAACTCGAGCCATCATCTGCTGCGTTGGACGAGGTTGCGATCCCTGAAAGCTTGATGCCGGAAACAATGGAGGTCGCCGCCGCCATAACCGTAGTTAGATAGCAAACCACAAACTAGAGAAATTCGAACGATGGAGAGATAACTAAAGCTAGCGCCTTTAAATAAATCTTATAAGAAATTCAATTATCGGAATATCCAATAATTCCTTTCAGAATTCAGATGGTTCTCTAAACTTTTTGATCAAAAGCTGATACTATGATTGATAGGGAACTAGGAAGGGCCCTTCGAAACTTCCGAGTCGAAGATTTGGTTGGTAAGCTTTGCGCAGTAGATAACTTCTTCTTTTTTTTTTAGTCACCCCAACAACGTTTTTCTTAAGTCCCCATTTTGTTTTTATTTCCCCACCCAACAAAAAGTTGGTCAATAATTTCTGTCGCTTCTTAAATGCTTGTTCCTCTTTCTATAATGTCAAATCAGCACATTTATTAGGAAATAATATAAATCCATTTACTAGCCCAACATGACCCAATAAGGCCCAATAAGCGTAAGCATCCCACATTTTATACAAACGCTTATTCCTCCTCGACTGAGAAGTCTGCAAAACCGCAAAACACCAAGAACTCGCTGCAACAGATCACATGAGCCGATCAGATAGCGAAGGTAGTCGCCGGAAGAAGTTCAACACCGGAGAAGGCTTTCGATCACGGAATATCGGATGCCGGAAGTAGTAAAACCCTGACGCCATTGCCACCATCTTCGTCGGCACAAGATACAACACCAACGCCACCACGAAACACAGACCCACGAATATACCCGTCGCTCGTGGGTCCCGCCACGTCACCAAAGCCTGCATCTTCTCCCCTTGCGCCGCCACCTCACCAAGAATCGTCTGAACTCGAGCTCCGACCGTTCGCAGCTTATCGTACCTCGACCGGACCATCTCCGGCGCCCGGTTACTCGGGAAGACGTCGAACTCTTCATCGAGCTCCTCTCTATCGGCGGCATCAGCCAGCGAGAGCTTCGGATCAAAATGTGGGAGAGCAGCGCGTGACCGGAACCGGTAATTCCACGCACCGATTACGAACAAGTAAAACGCTAACGTCGGGACGATTAGATCCGGAAACCAGATCAGCATCACGACAAGCGCGTGGACGAGGAGAGTCGCTGTCGGATTCTTCCAGAAACGCGTGTCATCCACCCATCGCACCACGTCGATCATTCCGGCGACGACGTTGACAATCCGAAGCCAATTCGCTCGAACCTTACGCATACTGAAAGTGTGCGAATCAGCGTCGAGCATGTACCGTACAATCTCCGGCCTTAAAGGTGGCTCGGATCGTGACAAGTGTACGGCCAAGGTCTTTACGGCAGTGTTCCGTAACATCTCTTCCTGAAACAAAGTCAACGGTTTGATGTAGTGCATCAAAGGCAACAACGGTTGACTGTACACGTGTAAGAAATCCAGCGGTGGAGCTGACCTCACGAATCTAACGGCTAATTCTATCTCTCCCAGTTTTTTAACGCCGCCGTTAACTAACATCAGCAGTGGATACGTATTTCTATACGCTTTACCCGTTTCCAAGGTGGATATACGTATACGAACTTTTCCGATCCGTAGATCTTGACGCGTGGCTTCTTTTCCGCCGTCGATCTCGTATACTCCCCAGCTATCGAAGACTCCTATGGTTAGAACCGTACACGGATCGTATACTTTCCACGTATACTGTTCGTTCCATTTCGGATCTAGAGAATCCGATACGGTTCGGGTACGGACCCATTTTGTGCCGTATTTCGCCACCGTGTACGCGTCCGTCGACCCTTTACCGTTCACGGTCTTCATCGGCAAAAGATTCTTGCAACCAATCACACCAAGCTCGACGATTCCAACCGCCGGTTTCCATAGCTGCCTCGCCGTTGGTCGGTAATCGCTGCACACGTGCGCCGCCTCGTCCATCACGTGATAACCGCCGTCGAAACAAAGTCTCAGGTGTACTCTTGATCTGTTTCCTCTCTTCTCGTCGTTTGGATCCTCGAAACCAAACCATCTGGAGGCAACCAAACGGTCGTCGACGCGCCTCTCAATTGCGGTGAGCGGCACGCGAGCCATCCCGACGGTGACAGACCCTTTCGATGTTCGATACTCCAAAGTGAAAACCAGCTGCTCGGCGAAAGGTTCGGCGGCTACAAAGAGCAAATCTTCGTTCCACGTCGGCGCTCCGTTACGAGTAACGGCGGATTTGGTTTTCTGCACCTGGAAACCTAACTGAGCTTTCAGTTGAAACGACGCTTCCTTAAACGCCGTTAGTTGAGGCGGTAATAAGTCTTGTGCTTCGATCACGGTGGCGCGAAGATACCACAGCTTCGACGACATGTAGACCTTGGCTCGAGCGGTTACGTTTCCGGCGGTGTCGGTCTTCCACGCGTCGGGGAATGATTCGTCTGCTTGGGTTCCTGTCCACGTGGCAAGCATTAGATCGCCGTGGTGAGCTCCACCACCTTCGAGACGGTACCATTGAGGCGCCAATGGACTATCCGGCGGGTCTCTTAGCGGAATCTCCGACACGTCGAAGCAAATTCCCCCGAGGAAGTGGCTAGTGTCGGTTCCCGGCGATGAATCCCACACAGATATCTCCAGAATTGGAGACGAAGATAAATCCGGTGAGTCGCGGAGGAAGGCGAAGGTTTGATCCCACTCGAAGGTAGAGGTTTTTCTGGCGGGTTTTGATTGGATCATTGTGCCGGAGAGTGAGATTTTTGTAATCGGACTCCCGGAGGTTGGTAGCGACCGAGCTTTCACAACGCGGACGAAGACGTAATGCATTTTCTCTACCAAATCAAACGCCGATCGTTCTATCGTCGATACGTCGGAGATCTCTGAGGTGTAGCTCGCTGTCTCTGAAAAGCTTCTCCGAAGCGGTTGCGGTCCGCCGATTCCTCCGATATTAGTTTCTGGTATGGAACCGGATACAGATCTCGATATCGTAACTTCCGGTAACGGTGATCTCGGCGTCGAAATATAGCTCGCCGCATCTCCTGTCTCAAGAACAGTACCTTCACCGTCAGGTTGAATCTGCGGTGGCTCTTCCGCCGGTAATTGCGCTTCGTTCTTATCTGCTTCCGGTGGCAGATTCGGTTTAGGCGCAGCTGGGTCTTCTCCACCAGCCGTAGCATTTTCCTGTAACTCCGATGATGCCTCCTCGTTTGGCTTGGGACCCTCCTCGGCTGGCGAGTTCTCCGGCGGTGGCTGTGGCGGTGGTTCCGCTGTTTCTTTCACTTCAGCAGAACCATCATTTGTCTCTGCTGGTGGCTTAGACTCCTCTGGACCTCCCGCCATCACTTCCTCGGCCTTTTCCTCCACCACCGGTTCAAGAGGAGCTACCGCCGGTTTCAAAACAGGAGGCGCCTCGTCGGCGTAGTAAATCCTAATCCCAATCTCACCCTGCACAAGATTAAACAGACTCTTCTTCTCCAAAGGATAGTATATCAAAGCCTCCTCTCCTCTCGCAACGAACTGGTCCGACCCGAGTCGGATCCTACCGAGAAAGTTGTTCCTCCGCGTGGGTCCAAAGTTCTTGTCATGGTACATGTCAACCTCAAGAACATCGGTGAAGACCTGATGAGAAGGTCGCTTTGCAAGACTGAACTCGAGCGTCTCGTTCCAAACAGGGTTTAAGTCACGGACTATGGTTCGTGTCCGTCGTCTCTGGCCGTAGTAGTCGACGATAACGTACGGGCTTGACGTTCCATGGCCGTCCTTTGGTGTAAGGTCTTTTGCGTCTACTACTTCTACTACCAATTTCCGAGTTGTTGCCATTTTCTTTCTTGTCTTATTGAAACTGTTGTTTCATGCATGCATAGGATTAATCGAGCTGAATTTGCCTATAGATTTAGGTTTTGTGAAAAGAGAGAGAGAATGAAGAACAGAAGAGGTTTGATTTGCAGGATTAGTGGCTTATGCTAAGAAAAGAGTGGGAAAAGAATCAAAAGAGAAGAATCAAAAAGTAGGATAAATTAAAGTAATTTAGGTGTATCTGATAGGAAAGAAAGAGCCTGTGTTTGTGTATATATATATGCTAAACGAAAAATGAACTGTTGTTTTATTGAGATATTCACTAATGAAAGAAAAATATGACAAATGTCCAAGTTGTTGCATGCACATTTAAAACTGAACAATGGAATCAGTGTTTCGGATTTATGAATTTTAGTTGTTGTATTGACTATTGAGTGTGAAATATTAAACCTTGATAATTCCCATTTTTTTTTTTTTTAATGAATATAAAATCGTGTGCTTCTTAACTTGATTTAGAAGCAACTCCTGACAATTCACACTTTGTATTCTATTTCTTTTGTTTGTTTGTTTGTTTGTTTTTTCCTTTTGCTTTCCCTTTTCTTTTTGTTAATTGAAATACATTCAGATCTTTCTCTTTTCGGTCATATATATTACGTAATTCCCTTACTTTCGGCTTTTATTTTTCGAAGTTGCTTTTGACTAATTGAAGATTCTCTTATTGTTCTTTAATAGCTTTAGTTCAGAAGGAGATTGAAGGTGGTGGACGACACTCAATGCCACCTAAGGACATGTCAGATTTTAGGCAATTGCTTTTGTTGTCTCTTCAAAAAAGTGATTGGTCTCTTTGTCTCTACTTTTTTTCTCGAATCTCACCGACCTTAAGCTTAAGTTTTCTACCCTCAATAGTTTCCTCTCAATCAACCTCACACATTTTCCAATGTTCATATTTTAAGCAAGATAAATGAACTTTGGTTAAATGCTTGGTTTGGTATATGATCACACAAAGGAAATTAGGAATTTGTTGACTTTTCTCTTCTTGGTTCTCCCAAAAGCGAGTTTCATATATTCCCCGAAAACATAGGTTCCAGTTTCCATACATCAAATACCATAAGAAGCCTTTGCAGGTATAAATTATGTATAATCAGTCCCTTTTAATGAACCCAAGTGACAGACAAAGTCTAACTAAAGAACACATGAAAATCAAAAAGCCCTGTAAGATTTCC